CTGAATGAATGAATGAATGAATACATAAAGCCACCTCATTTTTTTGCCCCTTAAGCAAAATATGCTGCTAGTGCCCTCTGCTGCTAAGTAATGATTTTATGTTTCCTGCACAGTAAGACAAATGAGAGAATGCTTAGAAAAAGGAATAGGTAGAAGCTATTCTGCCTTACTCTTGGGGCAGAGAAGACAAGGGAAGGCCACGACATGTCGTGGTGCAGGGGAGGCTACAAAGGCAGGAGGGCCAGACAAGGTGGCTGCAGAAAAGCTGGGCACTTCCTTTCTATGTTGGTGACTGACAATGAGTTTAGAAATAAAACACCGTCTCAATTTTATAGAACCAGTTTCTCTTCTTCCATTACCTGTCTTAAGGGTAAGTATGTTACTTATGACCAGAGATGATTTTTAAACCTAATTCTATGAAAATTACCTTTGACAATCCCAAGATGCCTCATGGGGGACTGTATTAATAAAAATGCCACGTAAGCTGGAAAGCATTGCTAAGAGGCCATCATCCCAGTCATTTTCCTGTTTCTCAGGTGTTCTAATATAGTAATAATAACAATTGCCTTTCAATGATTGCCTGCTATGTGCTTAGCATTTTCCTTCTGCTGATGGTAACTCATCAGCTATCCATTACTATCCCTTCGTAGTCAAAGACATAGGAAATGAGAGGTTAAGAAACTATCAGGGAGCTAGTGAGAAGCGGCAAGGCCTTCCAAATCTTCCCCGGACCCTACAGTGAGTCCGGTCTTGGGGTTCTCCGCTAGGAGTCAGGAGACCTGGGCTGAAGCCCATCACCTACCAGTAACTCTTCGTAGAAAGTTGGGTAAATCAATTTCCTTTAGAGGTCTCGCTTTCCCCACCTCTACCGTAAAGACTGCAGCACCAGGGTTTCTGTAAATCCCCTTTCAACATGGAGTCTGTTATGCAAAGTCCTTCATTTGCTGAACTCTTAAATACAAACTCTGCTTGTGGCTGTGATTCTCTCTTGAGTGTCCATCCAACCACAGGCTTGATGTTCCCAGTAAAATCGGCCCCCAGACAGTTCGATATTGACCTCAGATAAATAAACAGTGATGAAAAGCACTGGATGCTGAGTGCCAAAGGTCATTCAAGTATCTTTCTGTTTAAGTTGTAAATCATTCTGCATATAAATGGTGCAGGACCCCTACCCCAACCCAACACTCACAGCATGTTATGTATCCTATGCTGATTCTGAAGGCAAAGCAGTTTTAAATTTTCAGTATGACGATTTGTCACAATTGACAATCTTGATAACTGGGCTTTAGGTGGGAAGAGCCTGGGTGGGCCTCTGTCCCTACCTGATAGGCTCTCACCTCCATAGAGCAGAGTCCCCGGGAAGGGAGCTCCACAGGGTTTCTGGCCTTTGAAGTGGCTCACTGGTGCTTCAAAGCAAAGTTCATGGTACAGGGAGCAACATCTGATGTACTTTTATTGCCCTTAGAGACAAAAAAAAACATTACTCAGAAGCCAAACGTCTGGAAGAAAAATCTGTACCCTGTGCTCAGCCCTGCGGCCTGGAAGTTCAGAGGAGGCTCAAAGTGCCCTCTGTGAGGAAAGCAGAGCATGTCTGAACAGAGCTTCTATTCTCCCTGGCACTCAGGGCAGGGGGAGCAGCCATCTTGCTGATGACAGCCGCCTCCTCCTGCATTTCCACAGAGGTGTGGAGGAGCGGGGAGACCAGGGTCAGACAAGCTCAGAGCAATTCCTACCCCTTCCTAACAAGTCACAGAAAATGGTCAGATCTGCAAAATGCCCTTAGAGTGTACACTTATTTAATTTTTACTCAAGAAACTAGCATCTACTGTGACTATGACTTTCAGTCCAATTATTCATGTACTCTGTTTTGTTTTGTTTTGCTTTTCCCCCTAAATGTGATTAATGGTCAAGTCTACTGGGATGTTGTGAAAAGTTTAGTGACCACAATGGTAAGCAATGGAAGTGGAACATTTTCCCAGGGATCTTGACTCTGTCTATCAAGGGAGGTCCAAAAACGCCTGTGTGCCTGCTTTTTACTTGACTTGTGGTAGCTAAAGATAGAATGAATCCCAAATTAAGACTACTCAGAACTCAATTGTGCTAAAACATATGTTATTACATCCTTATCGTGGATACTGAGGGGGAAAAATCCTAAACAGTCTTTATTTAATTACCAATATTAACTTCAAAGAATCATAATTCTAGTTTATATTATCTTGTGGGAAAAACATGTCCTGAAACTCTGAACTTCAAATACAATAAAAATCCTGGTGTCTGTTCAGTATATGTTGCTGAATAATAAAATATTGTAAGAGACCAAAATATTATTCTGGGGACCAGCAGCCTTGAAGTAGGCTTCTAACCCTCAAGGACTTTATAATTTATCCTAAATATAAGAAGCATGATTGCCTAAGACCTTCAAAGGCATTTGCAGAGTTTAATAAACCAAAAACAGGTAGAGAGCAAACACTAAGTGTGATTGGACTCATATTGTATGATCTTGCATTGGCCCTTTGTTTCAAATGAGGTAAATTGGCTCCATTAACTCCTGTTGGAGATGGTCTGCTTCCAAGGATTCTCAAAGTTTCTGACACTCCATTCCATGTTTGACATCGGAAGACATGACTTCAATAAAGTACTATTTGAATGCCTTTCTGTTTTTACTGAACGCTTGATTGATTTTTGCCAAATGCTCTGGACTTTTCCAATAACATACCTGTGAGCTGGAACAATCTCATTATTCCCGCTTCTGAGATAATAACATAAGGATTTGTGTGAGTGAACTGGTTCCAGGAATAAGGGTGAAACGTTTGTCGGACTCACCTTTCTTGAACTCCTGGGCAAAGGAGAGTTGGGAGCCCACTGGGAGAGCTCGTGGGCTTTTGTCTGAATGATGGGGTTCACTTCAGCTTTGTCTGATACCAGCTGCTCCTCCGCTTTTCCGTAAGAAGCATGGTCCTTAACGACTTCACTCCACCCACTTAAATATACCTCCCCACAAGGGAATAAAATAAAACTCCCTTTTCAACTGCTATTTATTTGGATTTCCACAGCATTCATTAAAGTGCTTTCCCAGGGCCAGCTGTAGTATAGATGCTTTTTCACCCCACCCTCACAAAACCGACTTCAATACGAACTCTCCAACTTTTCTGAAAGCTTAGTATTTTATAACCCAAGATCATCCAGTTTACACTTAACACTTTTTTGACTGACACTGTGGTGGAATGAGAGATCACGGGGCTCATTTTCTGCTTATTTGTGGCAGAACAGGCACTCACTCATGACCCAAGTTAACTGCCACCGTCTGTGTAAATTCTTTCCTATCCCCAACTTCTCCCTTCTTGAACTCACATGGCCTCTTTGACATCGGCTTCTGTCATAATACTTCTATCACAACACTTTTTTTTTTATTTACATCTATTCTATTTATTTTGAGTACCTTAAAGGAAGGTGGGCTATTTTACTCTATGTTGATATTTTCATAGACTCACTACTGAGTGGTCACTTGAAAACTGAGGACTGAATTATGAATGACCTGAGCATTATTACACTACCTTCCCTGAGACTGCTCATTTTCCTTGTTTACAAAATGAAGATTGCACTGAGGTTTCTCTCAAGATAATTGTGTAGTTACAGTTGATTACCAAGTGCTTCAAGACCATAAAAAAAATTTCATAAATGTCAACCATGATTATAACCCTTTGAAACAATGGGATATATGATTTATAGATGGAAAAAGATGAGACACAGCAGGCAGTGTTCCTTAGCCTAGTCTCCATGTCCATGCCCGCCCACCACCAGTTCAAACCCAGAGGTAACAGCATCAGCTTAGAAAGAGCAAAGAGGGTTGAACTAGGGTCTGGAAAGGGTGCCCAGGGCACACACCATCACACTGTCATCAAGAGGGAAGACACCTAAATTTGACAAAAGTGAACAAAGGGACGAGTTCCCAGAGAGATGGATGATGCTCACTTCACCTCTCTAGACTCAGATAAAGAGGCAGTGGTTGGTCTTTCCTGAGCAGAAAATGAATTGGGAGAAGGGCTGTTTAGGTAGGGAGTTTGTCACACTCCGCCCCACCCTCCACCTCCATGGTGGTGGCCTTCCCAGGGAAGTATGGGCAAGGCTTGTCTTGTTCACCTTTTGTTCCCCCTCCCCAAGCTGTATCATGTAAGTGGTGAGAAAAGGTGTGTTTTATACTGAATAAGCAGAGCATTCAGATTTTCCTCCCTGGCAATGTGTTTAAAGGGGAAAAAAGGGAGGAACATCTTCTTTGGTTGTTTTTCTTATGGGCCCTTAACAAGATTTTTGAAGGTAGAGGTGACTCACTAACCCAGCTTTTTACATGACTGATGCCATCCATGGTAGAGCAAGCCAGGATCCATGATCAGATTGTTCCAGACCTGACGTCGCCTGGCCTCGGAGGTCAGCAGTAGGCATGGAGAACAAGGTGATTTATGGGGGAAGGTGAGAGAGGGAGCAAGGGGAAAGCTCTGACAGAATAAGTCCACAGCTCCAACCAACTGTGAGCTCAAAGAATGGCTGGTGTTTCTTGTCTCAATGTGTCTAAAGAAATCAACCAGCTCCAAAACAAAAAAGGCCCTTATGTCTCCTGTTGGAAACATGGAATTATATGGGAGTAAAGGATTTGTGGGTGGGCTGTGGGACTCTGCGGGGAGGTCACTTCACATCACAGGCTTCTTGGCAGGAGGCAGAGCGGGTTCATCACCATGGACCCAATCTAACTTGTGGTTTGGAGTTTTTGCCAAATGACTCCTGTTTCCCCAAAGAGTTCTGAATGTGGGAACAGTTCAGCTTTTCCCACTTCTCAGTCACACCATTGTCACTCACCTCAGAGCATTTAATTCTTTGGCGTAAGGAACTGGTGAGGTGGCCCCCATTATCTTCTTCCTTGACGTCAGTGAGGGAGTTGTTCCCCATGGCTGTCTTATGTGAAATAATTCAGCATTTGTACTTCAATTAAAATTCATAAGTATATATTATTAAATGAGACTGACTCATTCCATGGCTTCTCCTCAACTGAGTAAGTGCCAACAACAAAAAAAATGCTATATACACAGTAATCATGAAGACGGCATTAAAACTAAAATTTCCTTGTCAAACAATTTACATCCAGAGCTCTGAAGAACACACCAGTCTCTTGTAGCAAGCAGTGTTTTCTCTAGACAAAACTGAAGTTTAAGATTCTCACTGCTTTGGAGGGAGAGGGAAACAGGAACTACCCAGAACCCTCTTTACTTTTGTGGGCATCACAAAAGTAGCACCTGGCACACAGTATTTGCTCAAAAATGGGGCTGAACCCATTAAATTAAGCCTCTGTATTCACTGTCATATTTAAGCATATTATTATGTAAATACATTATATGATTTTATAAAAATCATATTTTTTCTTCATGCTAACATATTATTTTGTATTTCTGGATACATGATCGAGGAGTAACCATCTCTCCTCATTCTCTCTCGGACATGGACGTGCTGAGCTGAGTGAACACAGTTCTCACTTCCCTCTACTACTCTTCATTTCCTCTTCTGCAAAATGGGTTTCAGAATCTGGGTCCAGAATATCTCCTGGTGTTCTTAGAGTGTTAGCCTGTTATGAACATCGATGCAATGATCAGAGAAAACAAGAGCTGTGTAAAAGTGCAGCCTTTTTACAAGAGGAAGGGGTAATCATCAAGACCAGAGGTAGTTAGTTCCCCAAGAGATACCAGTGAAGAGCATTAGACTTGCAGTCGTAAAAACTGGGCTTTCCAGTCTGGGCTGCCTCAGGCACACACAGCCCTCCTGTGAGAGTTAGGTGAAGCGCCCTTTCTACAAGGCACAGCCCTGCAGGGCCAGAGCTGGGTGAGAAAGCACCACCTCTGGTCTGTGCAGCTCTGCGTGGGGATCCCAGCCCCATGGGCCCCCTGGCGGGCATTTCCACACAACTCAGCTCAGCAGCAGGCTCTGCCTGCTAGAATCTATAACTACAAAATCATTTTTTCCAACTCTGAGCCTCAGTTTTCTCCCAGAGAGAAGGATGTGATTGAACTGTGATTTCTGTGGCCTCCTTTAGCAAGGAAAGCTACCAAAAACTGACGGACTTTTCCATCTTTCCACACACAGGATCACCGTAGTGCACAGACCGAAATTTCTGAGCTGGATTTTTTTAGAAGTCATGGGATGACACTCCCTTACTATTTGAATGAAATTATATATGGTTTGATGTAGAGCAGATTAAAAAATAAATGCTATATTGTGCCTGACCCAGGTGTAAAACAACATGGCTGACCTGCAAAACAGGAAAAACGACTCCGTTGTCAGCAAATGGTACAGACAGACCTGGCTGTAACATAAGGGCACCTCTGGAAGCTTGCACCCACTTTCCATGGGGCTGAATGGCAGAATCAGTGCCGAGGTGCCTGCCTTCCCCAGAGGACCCAGAGCACCCAGGATGTGGAAACTGCTAGGAGCCAAAGACTGTTTTCTTTGTTGATGCCTTGTTGCCCGAAAACAGAAATTAGATCCATGCCCAGATCCTCCTATCAGCACATCTGAGTGCCAAAAAACACTTCACAGTGAGAGCAAACAAATAGCAAGCCACCCTTTCAAAGCGCAGGAACATTAGCCCAAGAATTGGGCTGAAGGTGTAAAAGCACATCTACTACACATAATGAGCCCATTCACCGATTCTCAACATGTCAGTAAGAAGGAAATTTGGTTATATTTGTGAATGTTTCTAGAATCACTTTTGTTTTTGTTTTTTTTTTATTTGTTTTGTATTTAGAGTAAGAAGGAAGGCTTTTGGAAACAATTAAGAGCAATTATATAATTTTCAGAGAAGAAAATTGAAGCTCAGAAAGGGAAAAGAATAGGTCCTGGTCACACAGTGGGCATATTTGATAGAGATGGGATTATAATCTAATGCTCTTTCCACTCTCCCATGATGAACATGCAACAGAAGGCTAAGTGGAAAACAGATGCCACATAAATCATGATGACTCAATTTTTCAGTCTCAAAGGATGAATGCTCTTGCCATTTACCACAATCATAAATGGCAGCAAGTAAATGTGATTTCTAAAAAGTGTTTTGATTTGCTGGCTTTTTATGGGTCACTCCCTCTCTTCTGCCATAGTGGGGGCAAGTGATCTCCCACTGGCTAGAGAAGCAGGTTCCTCTAGGTGAGAATCCAGCTCCTCATACCTCTCAAATGTCCTGGGACTGCGTCTTTCTTGGACTTGAGTCAAGGGCCAGGTGTTCTCCACACTGACACCTGTTTTCTAAACATCTCTTTCCCTCAAAAGCAGTGTTCCCAGCTCCCTTGCAGTCCCAGAATGTCTACCAGCAAAGTAGGTCAGGGCATTTGACTTCTTCTTGGGTTGTCCCAAAGTTCCTGTGGGACCACAAAACCATTGCCTGAAGATAAAACAAACATTTGGGAGAGGAAGAGTAAATGCCAGGTATTAAAATAAGGCTCCCTTTATTAAACAAATCAGACACAAGCATGAATCCATGGGTTGAACAGCAGCAGCCAAGAGGAGAGGCCGCCAAAATATGTGCAGATGAAAACTGGAATTGCTCTGAAGTCCATTTTTTCTTACAAAATGTCCCATCTCACCAGTGAACCCCACTCTCCAGCAATGCGGCAATGACTCAGGTGGGATTAGCGTTTCTTCCAAAGTAACTGGGATGAAGAGTCATTCTATGTTAACCCCTGAACAACTTTTTCAAAGGCACAGCTCATAGGCCTCTTCTTTCTAGATCCCTGTGGAGGGTAAAACAAAGCTTCCAGTGTAAGTTTGTTCTCTGGTGAAAATACCAGAGTCAAAAACTCTGCCATGGCCTGGAGAGGCTGACAGCTGGCTCATGCAGGACTTATCATAGAATTCCTTCTCTGAGCCTGGGGGCCCCGAGGCCAGTGATGTAGGAGGCAATGGGGAACACCCCTCAGGTTCCTCAGCCCCTGAGCACCATGAGAAGCTGACTGAATGGCATAGAAGGCCTTCGGAGACCAAGGCACAGTCTGACCTTGGAAATAGACCAAGCACAAGAGCTGAAGTTTTGCCACAAATGAACTTAATTCTTTCTGGTTGAGCTTTTGCATTGCAGCAAATGAAGTAGTTGTATATGTGTGTGTCTCTGTGTGTGTGTGTGTGCACGCGCATGCACTTTTGAGTGCAGTGGGGACAAGGATAACTGGCTTTAAGAGATGAAATGATGAAAAACCAAGAAAGACAGACTGAATGAGGCAAAGCAAGCATCCTTAGGAACAGAAGGGAGATCTGGTGACTCATATTAACCTGTTAATTTATACCATGTTCTGTACAAAAATAAAGAAGTTCTCATAAGATTAACAATTTAAATAAATATCTGATAGAGTGTTCTTTCTCATTTTTATAGTTCATCTTTGGGGTTGATATTCAGGTCATGCTTCCCTTGCTGTTCTTGATCCAGGATTGCGATCACTTCATCGGCCTTTATTCGCTCCTGCAAAAATGACAATTTACACATTTCTGTTACGGGCATAATAATCAGTCCCAGTGGCAGATGCTTCCCAAACACTTCCAGGCTTCCATCTGTACACAGATTGGTGCTAAATCCAGCTAAGGATGGAACCCCATCTTCATCCCTGCACTGGCACCTTCTCCTGACTTTTAGGTGTCCTCAGCATTACAGTCACTTTCCAGGATTTCTCTTTGGCAAAGAAGACTTGTATATCCAACTACCCATGACCCTTTCCATATACTTTGGGATCTCATCAGCACCTGCTGTCAATTCTCCAATTCAGCACTCAAAGTGAATTCACCATTTCCCCAGGCCCACCTACAGACCGATTGTCCTTTTCACAAATCCCCTGTCTCAGTAAAGACCACCACAGCCAACCCATTTGCCCTAGAATTCTGATTATGGTGTCTTGCTGCTAATAAAAATCACCTAGTCCTCCCTGTTCTACCTCTTATTTCTGCCCCTTTCTCTCAGAGCCTATAACTATTGCCTTACTTAGATCAGGGTTTCCTGACCTTGAACCAGATGGTTCTTTGTGGTGGGGTTGTAGGGGGGAGGGTAGCCTATGTATTGTAGGCTGGCCTCTATCTGTTATAGGTAGCCAGTAAAACCTCCCCCCATGTCTGGACCAAAAATGTCTCCAAACATTGATAAAGTGACCTAGGAGGCAAATTATTCCCTCTTAAGAACCACATGCTTTAGCTTTCATCATTTCTTTTCTTTTTTTTTGTAAGATTTATCCATCTATACAAGCACTGGGATACAGGCCAGAGGCGCAGGAAGGTGAGAGGATTCACCAGAGACAGAGCGGGGAGCAGACCAGGCAAACGGACTGAAAACACTGCTGAGGCGAGCAGCAGGCGAGACAGGAGAGGTCTGCCACGCCATCTGGGTGGCTCCCTGGCTGGCTGGGACATGAACTGGTGCTGCAGAGGCTGCAGACAGCTTCACAGTGCTGTGTTCAACCCCCTGTGCCACCAGGGAGGCCCTAGCTTTCATCATTGTTTGACTGGATCACTGCAGCAGTCTTCAAACCGATGTCCTCATTCCACACCCCACTCCCACATGCTTCCACCGCACTCTCTGCACTTAAATCATGCACGCACCACTTTCCTGCTCATGGCTTATGGCCCCTGCATGGCTCCTCGTTGCCTGCAGTTCAGCTCCAGTCTTCTTGGTGTGTGTATAAGATGTGACCTGATTTAGGCTTTTCTCTCTCCTAGCTTACCTGTCCTCTTCTCTCAGCTCACTTTAGACTCCAACTTCTTAACTTAGCTCAAGGCCACTGAAAACCACACTCTCAGAAAAACTCTTAGTTCTAGTGCAGGAAAAAAATGCCCCTCTGGGTGCCTCCATTGTATCCACATCCATCCACCAGCGGGCCCAGCTGGTCTACCTCCGAAAACCATCTCAAACCTTCCACACTTTTCACCTTCTCTATTGCTACCTTAGTCTAGAAGGTGGCATGAAAAGCCATCTTTTGTACCCTCTAACTCCCAGGACTGGGGGCATGGGGAGAGGTTGCATGTTCTCCCCAATATTAGAATAGAATTACATTTCTTAACCAACCTCAGTCTGCGTCTGACTCCTCGGTGTCTATTTTCAGATCCGCTCCCTCACATACCCATTCTGGTGATGCCGCTCTCTGCTTCTCGCTCACTGCCTTCCCTCTTGTCTTTGTATTCATAACTTGTTTTGTGCCTGAGATCTCCTCCCCAAGACCTTCAGTCCAGTTGACCTCTTGTCACTCAGGTGGCAACTCACAAGTCACCCTCCTCACCGTATGCCACCCCACCTTTTCACTCTCTAATCAGTGACCTTGTTCCCTTTTCCTCACATCATTTTTTAAAAAGTAGAGTAACCACCTGCACATGAATATCCATTTGCAGCTTTTCCCACATAGGGCCAAACTGCCATCTGAAGTGGCCACATGGGACCTCCCCTGGTGGCACAGGCGGTTGAGCACCACACTGTGAAGCTGTCTGCAGCCTATGCAGCACGGGTTTTATACCAGCCAGACAGTGAGAATCCCACATGGCTCAGCAGACCTCTCCTGTCTCACCCATTGCTTCCCTCAGCAGTGTATTTCAGTCAGTCTGCCTGTTCTGTTCCCCGCTCTGTCTCTGGTGAATCCTCTCACCCGCCTACGCATCTGGCCTGTACCGCCATTCTTGTTGGCATGAATAAATAAATCTTTAAAAAAAAAAAAAGTGTCCTCATCAACTTCCACCCTCACCAGCAACAAATGAGTGTTTTTTGTGGTTGTTTCACAAACAGGCCAGTCTCTTTCACTTTTACTTTTCTGGTGGTTGATGGCAGTTGAAGTAGGGCTCACTATTTTTTTTATAATGATTTATTTATTTATGCTTACAAGAACTGGGGTAAAGGCCAGAGGTGCAGGGGGTGAGAAGATTCACCAGAGACAAAGAGGGGAGCAGAACAGGCAGATGTACTGAAATACACTGCTGAGGGAAGCAGCGGTAGAGACAGGAGGTCTGCTGTGCCATGTGGGTCACCTCCCTAGCCCACTCAGTTTCCTTGTCTTTATGCCACATTTACAGAATGAGTGGCTATATTTGGTTGAAGAAATATGGAGTTGTGCATCAACTGTAACGTGTGTTCCTTCATACAAACTACCACTGGTCTCTTATGTGGTGTGAAAAGCCCTATTGTGACTGAGGTTGAAGTCACTTTGAATTTAATCAGTGATTTAAAGAATTTTATATTTATACCCCCAAAGTGTTTTATAATTGTTCCATAAGATCTTTTTAGATATATTGTTTCATATGTTTTACATTTACTAGTTGAATCTCATTATTATATCCAGGTTATTGTTGGTATAGAGGAACAACAATGATTTTTGTATAGATATTCAGACTGTGCACCTGCTGAATTTTCAAATTCATGCTATTAATTCATCTGAAAATTCTCTGTGAGTTGATATGTGGATTATCATACAATCTGCAAAAAAGCCTTTGTCTTATTTTTACGTCTTTGTCTTTTCAATTTCTTACTGCTTATTTCTTAAAATTTTATTGCATTTTCCTGGATACCTAGTACTTGATTTGAGGACATCTTTGTCTTATGCCAGATTTAAAAGGACACTCACTTTTATTAGCTTGTAATGAATATCTTCCACTAGGTACATCTTACTTTTCTTCATCCACACATCATTTATTACTATCTGAAAATATCTCAATTACTTATTGTTTAAAAAATGTATTTGTTATTTGTCTTCTACAAGATTAGTTCCATGAAAGTGTGTACTCTGTCTCTTTTGGTCACTGATATATTTCCAGTGCTCAAAAAAACAATTGCACTTGGCAGGGTCTCCGGTGCATTTGCAGAATAAATACATAGGTTGAAGAAAGGCTCTCTGTGTCTGAAACGTCTGTTCCTAAAGAAAGTGTCCTTGTCCTGGGCCTCCCCAGTGGTGGAGAGGTTGAGCGCTGGGTTGCAAAGCTGCCCACAGCCTCTGCAGCGCCAGTTCGATCCCCGGCTGCTCCCCGGCCACCGGAGGAGGGTCCCACATGGCGCGCAGACCAGGAGGGTCCCACATGGCACGCAGACCTCTCCTGCCGCCCGCTGATCCCCTCAGCAGTGTACTTCGGTCCTTCTGCCTGCTCTGCTCCCCGCTCTGGCTCTGGTGGATTCTCTCACTCTCCCACACTTTTATAATTGTACCCAGTGCTTGTATAAATAAATAAATAAATCTCTCTTGATTTCTTCTTTATATTCCCAAAACACCATGCAATTGGCTGTAATAATTCTTAGAGCTTTGTCTATTGCTTTAAATGCATGGGCCCCTATGTTATCTTTCCACTTTGACTTCAAGCTCCTAGAAAATAGAAGTTCCAGCTTACCTACTTTGTATCCCCTATGGGTAGTCCCTCACACAAATGCCTAGCATAGTAAGTTCTAAAAATAATTACATAGCACTTTTCATTCACAAGCTTGAAATCGGAAATAATATTGACATAAAGGCATCCGAAGGGGCAAAATATACTAAATGATAAAAACTAAAATAAACTAAATTGCTGTCATGATGTGTAAGTAAAATGTTTGCTGAGTACTCTTTAAGAATGTGGGAACAACCTGCTGCTTATCAAATTGATGCACCTACAAAAATTTCATATCTGAAGCCACAGGAGACTGTTGTAGTCATGTTTCTCCTGAAAAGAAGTTTAAGAGCTAGAACTCTATATGCTAGGCACTGAAGCTTCTAATAACATGCATCTGGAAGTGTTTATGATACTAAATGCACCTGGCAAGGTGGGTGCCTTTAAAATAATCTAGAACAAGCACAGAAGTCTGCCAGCTCTGATGACTTCTTCATAGGCAGCTTTGGATTCCATCTGAGAGAACGCACCTAAATCAGGGACTCTAAAACTTGGTTGTGCATTAGAATCACCAGGGAGCTTCAAAAGCTTTCGCTACTCCAATTAAGTACCTTAACAACTAAGCCAGAATTTCTCAGGGTGGGAGTCAGATGGCAGTAGTTTGCAAATAGTCCCAGGTGGTTTCAATGAATACCAAAGTCTAGGAATTAAAGCAGAGGTTAAATGTTCCAGCAGTTGAAGAGGTTCTGGTCATTCTCTTATGTGACCGCTAGATGCCGCTGCTGCCCCGAGGCTGGAACTGGATTTCTAATACTTTTCAGAGGTTGAGAACGTGAGCAGAGAAACTAGTTGTGCTAACTAATTTTGATAGAAAGTATCTTCAAAGAGAGGCCTGAGATACTGAATAATAAAATAGATGAACTATTTGCTAAGTTAATTGTGAGAAAATTTTTCAACAATGTATTATGTTCACTGTCTTATTTACTGGCATCTTCAGCACAGGAGTACTGTGGGGGTGTTGGCATTTTGGAGGTGCACAAGGAGAAGCTTAGGGAAGAAAGGAATGGCAAACTGCTCAGTGTCTTTTGGAGTTTTCAGAACTGGGCACTCTGTTCTCTCTGCAGAGCCAATCTTTTCTCTCTGTGTGCCTGACATCATCATCTCTTTAAAGACTGAGTTTATAAACATCTTCCTTGAGTTCCTCCTACAAAGTACACACTACTGTCTTCTCATTGTCTCTTTCCCTGTTGACCTCTCCCAGCTCCTCACCATCAGGGACTAAGCTTTGTTCACCTTGTGTCCTGGGACCTACCAAGCAGAGTGCCTGAGGCACACAGCAGATCTGGAAACATTTGTTAAATACCTGCAAGAATGCTTGGGGAATGTGGCTTAAAGTTACGTGTGTTTGATGGCAACAACAGAAAGAGAAATCGATTAATTTTATAAGTTTCTGATGAAACTGGAATTCAATTTAGGGATCTAAGGAGAAGAAGCAGATAGAAAGCCACTTAAAAGACTAGAATTTCACAGCCCATCAGCACTCAGGTCTGGAGGAAACTTTGAAGTGATCCAGTTTAGCTGTGCTATAAAGTTCAATTTCAATTTCAGCATTCCATGCCCAATGGCTGCTGGGGCTTTGACTGGAGCTCGGCAGTAACAAGAAGCTCATTACTTCCAAAACAGACAATGCCACTAAACCACAGTGATTATCTGAAAGGCATTCCTTATGAAAAGTCTAACTTTTCTACCCACTGACCTTTTTTTTTTTTAAGATTTATTTATTTATTTATACAAACACTGGGTACAGTCAGAAGCACAGGAGGGTGAGAGAATTCACCAGAGCCAGAGCAGGGAGCAGAGCAGGCAGAAGGACCGAAGTACACTGTTGAGCGGAGCAGCAGGCAGCAGGAGAAGTCTGCGGGCCATGTGGGACCCTCCTCTGGTGGCCGGGGAGCAGCCGGGGTTCAAACTGGCGCTGCAGAGGCTGCAGGCAGCTTCGCAACCCAGCGCTCAACCACTGCGCCACGGGGGAGGCCCTCTACCCACTGATCTTAATTCATCTCTCTGGAGCTTCACCCATACAGGATATAGCCTCTGCCACGGGCATCCATAAGAATGAGATTACAGTTTCTTATTAGATCCCTGTAATTAACTACTTCTAAAGTAATAAGAGCAACATTTTAACATTTAACTTAATAATAATAAATAATAATAAACTTTCACATTCCTTCACCTTCTACCTATGTTGCATAATTTACACATACAGTGCTCTTTTTGATGATTTGTAAAGAAAACAAGTCAGTCTCCTCAAGACCTGAGAAAAGTGGTTCCTCTTTTTCATTGGTGGAGTTGGTAATAAGCCTAAGATTAATCAGAGACTACCACATATCACTCTCTGCAGAACATTCACTTATTAGAACCCATGGGATTAAAAACTGCCTTCCAAGTTTCCTCTTCTTTCCCTCAAATCACACTCCAGATATTAGATGACTAACTATTGGAGACAGAGCTGATCAGGAAAGCTTCTTGCTGAGAAAACAAAGCCAGCATTGGGGACTAGAGAGAAAAAGTCTGTAAGGGGTGGGGGGGGGTTAAAATTTTCTTTCATGATAAGGTCTCTGAAGGGTTATAGTGTTACAGGGCACATAAGACCTTTTATGGGAAGGAACTTTAATATGATTAGTGTGTAATACAGAAAAGACAACATAGTTTTTAAATTTAGCATCCCAAGTTACCCATCCCCTCATTCTAGCAGTTGAAGCACCTTCCGTTGGAGACCCATAGAAAAGGGTCAGAAACAGACAAATCTAGGAGGAAAAGAGTAAATCAAAATTAAGATAAATGCTACCACTGTTAACCTGCCTATGGGTCTCTCACCCACAACTGTTTCAACCAGTCCAGGGCCAAGGAGCAAATACAGTTTCTTCACATGTCTCTCTGCTCTATGTGTCTCCTCCAGGTCTCCTTCTTGCTCTCCATCCTGCTTCCTTCCCCTGTCTCTCCAGCTTCTCCTCACTGTTCAGCTCCATCCTCCCCTGGGTGGGGCAGGGAACCTGGAACCTCCCCTTTTCTTGAGGATGACCCTCTTACAATAGGACAACTTAAATGACTTTTCAGATAAATCAGTTCCTGAAGCAGATATATGGGGCATCTAACTAACTTTCTGGGAGGGTCAGAAACTCACCAATTCTCTATAGAGTGGGTCCAAGGTAAACCACAGAGCCACAGCACACCTCTGGCCTTTGGTGACTGCCTTCACCCCATGAGGGTTCTCTCCTCCAGATGAGAAGCTGATCATACGCCCACACTTTGGTTTTATAGAGGCCTGAGAAAGAAAAGAATAATTAGACTTTCTAATGCCATATCACAAACACTGCTATAAGGCCCCATCATTATCTACCTATGGGACATTTGTGTCAAAATTTGAATCAAGGAATGAAAGCATCCTGGGTTTGAGGAAGACATAGATTGCTTCAAGTTCTTCATCTGTAAAGCAAAAACAAGGCCAAATGTCTGATTCAGAAAATAAAATTAATCAGGTAAAATGGTAGGCACAATACCTGGAAGAGAGGAATTGCTCAATACAAGCTCAAACTCCAGGAAAGTAAAAGCTCTCTCTTTTAATTCCTTTTCCTATATTCAACTGTAGCATTTGGCATATGGAAGATGTACTTTTAATATCTGTGAAATTACAAAAAACAAACCAAGGAGCCATGTAGAACACTGGGAAACTTTTATTATAGATCTTGACCATGGCTCCATGGCACCTAAGTCCTTAATTGTACATTTGTGCTTTGTGTATGCTTGTATGTTTGTAATGCAGCAATATTTAAAAATCAAGTCTAATCCCAAATGATGGTTTAATTCCCATTACAATATTCCTGCCCAGTGGTCCTCAGTCAATGAAGAGAACACAGTACCCCTTGGGATGGCCCATTCCTTGTCCTCCAGGGGACCTGAGGTTATTGCCACAGTTCTTCCAAGCATTTCTTGGGGGGAACAGTCCACTCATGTTTAAGTAGATGAGGGCAGAAGGGAAAAGAGAAACTGCATGTGGCCTTGAGCCTGGGCACTAGATGAAGAGAGGACAGTCTCAAGGTAAGTGAGCTTAAGCATATGAATATAGCTCATGAATCTGAATATTAGAGACTTATTTCTCCCTTTAAGGCAGTGTCTGATATGTGGAGTTCATTTTTCTTTCCTGAGAAACACAGAAACCTTACTCCATAGCAGAGGCCAGGAAGTTAAAATAAAAGCAAAAAAGAAAAACTTGTAGCAAAATTTTACTATTTGATAAGTTGTGTCCTAACAAGCTATTTTTTTTTAAGATTTAAAAAGATTTATTTATTTTTATACAAGAACCAGGGCACAGGCCAGATGTGTGGGAGGGTGAGAGGATTCAACAGAGACAGAGTGGGGAACAGAATAGGCAGACTGACAAAATACACTACTGAGGGGAGCAGCAGTCAAGACAGGAGAGGTCTGCTGCACCATGTGGAATTCTCGCCCACCGGCCGGGATCGAACTGGCGCTGCAGAGGCTGCAGACAGCTTCACAGTGAGGCACTCAACTGCCTGCACCACCAGGGAGGCCCGCTAACAAGCTGTTTTTGAATTGAGTTTACATGTGCCTATGAGAAGAATATTTTGCCTCTTCCACCACAAAATGGGATGGATAAGGTTTTTCACTGCCAGGTTCAGGAGGAATATTTGGGAATTTTCCTGAAGTCCTTGGATACCGTATAAAAAGATGCTCTCAGACTGTGTGACCAACATGTGGAAGGTCAAAGGTAGTGGAGGAAACAAAAAGTTTGAGAAACCTTGGTGTGTGTGACATTAGCTCTGTGTGTGTGTGTGTGTGTGTGTGTGTGTGTGTGTGTGAGAGAGAGAGAGAGAGAGAGAGAGAGAGAGAGGATGCTATCAAGAAGAGCTGAAAACACTAGTTAGTTTCTGGTTACTTTCCTACACAGAATAATAAAGGACTGATTCATCTTTGCTAGAGAGAGTGGCTTTTCTTAAGCAGCTTGGTCAAGGCAATTTTTCTGATGGCAATCTAGAGTGTTGTAGGGTAAAGAAAATATCAGGCTTTTCTGCCCTTCCGCCATCAGGATAGATGATGGATCCTTGTCCTGAATGCATGCCTGATGGCGGGCACCTGGAGTAGGGTGTGGGCATAGGTAGATGGGATTCAGCTGAGCTAAGACTGTGCTTTTAAGGGCGGCGTCACGGGGGGGACGCTAGCAGCCCCAGCCAGCAGCAGCAGAACCGAAAGAGAAGCCGAGAAGCAGCAGAACGAACGCTAGAGAGCCCAGATAGAGTGAGGACTTGCTGGGGGCTGGGAGGCCTGCCAGCCTCCCAGCCCCCCAGCCAGCACCCCTGCCTGCCATATGCCTGGTGAACCCCAAATAAAAAACCTGCAAAACTACTGAGGACTCTGACTCCTCCTTTACCCGATCTGCATGGGATCAGAAAACCTGCATTGTGTCCGGTCCTGCCCTTACAATTGGCGTAGTCGGCAGGATCCATGCAGACGGGTATTGGAGCCCTCCGAAGACCTGGAGGGACTAAGGAGAACAGACTTTGCCTGTGACGACGCTGGAGGCACCATGGCGGTATAGAAGATGGATACGTCCACGAGCTACAGGATGAGACCTGGCGTGAAGGAGACGCCCGAAAGGACCAGCCAACGACACCGGATAGGACCAGCCAACGACACCGGAAAGGACCAGCCAATGACCCCTGAGGCAGCAGGCCATTGCTGAAGCAGGGAGAGGCCAATGGACTGATAGACTGATGAACTGATGATTTTGGACTGACAATCCCGCCAGAAGGCGGAGGACCTTGGCAGGTTATGTTTTTTTATGGGAATCTAGGGGTGGCCAGTGGGCCTAGAGGGCCAAAAGCAGCCTGTGCATGCCCAGCAGCCAGGTGGAGGAGAAAAGCCAACTAAGAAAGCAAAAGCTGGTACTGATGATAAGTTGAGAAGCCCTGAGTGGCTGTTAAGCAGCCTTGGTATGCTGAAGAACTGTGAGTCTCGTAAAATCACCTGTGGGTGATGCCCTGCTCATTCTTGAGCGAGGGTGAGGAGCTGAGGAACCCGTCCTTGGGGGACGGGTGGGGAACGTGGCTTGGGGTGGAGCCCAAGCCGCATGTAGATTTTTGATCCCCGACCCATGTGCTTGTGCAGTGGGTTGGCCTGAGTGCAGGGGTCTGTGAGTTGCATGGGTGGCCATGAAGGCCGAGTGTTGGAGCGACTGCAGACAGAAACCCTGAGGGTTGGTGATTACCCCCAACAGAATAAAATTGCCAATCCCAGAGCTAGTGCATCCTGGGGGTGGATGCTGTGTGCCTTGTAGCCTAGACTACAGCCAGAGAAGGCCAGGAAGCCTGACGGCTCCTGGTATGTTATAGTAGATGCCGTGAGTGATTCCCCTCCCTCGTATGAGCAGTGCCTTCGGCAGCAGATTTGGTGGCTCATCTGCTGGTACCAATAATTGTCTTTTGCACTTGGTTGGTGCCCTGCCTGGACTTATTTGTGTTCTGTTGTATTTTGTTATATTGTATTTTGTTATATTTGATGTATTTGCTTTTGTGGGCCATGGCTGCATTGTTTGTTTGCTTAGAAAATTGTATATGTATGTATAGACTGTATGGCAGAAAACCCTGAGGGGGTGGACTGTAGGGTAAAGAAAATATCAGGCTTTTCTGCCCTTCCGCCATCAGGATAGATGATGGATCCTTGTCCTGAATGCATGCCTGATGGCGGGCACCTGGAGTAGGGTGTGGGCATAGGTAGATGGGATTCAGCTGAGCTAAGACTGTGCTTTTAAGGGCGGCGTCACGGGGGGGACGCTAGCAGCCCCAGCCAGCAGCAGCAGAACCGAAAGAGAAGCCGAGAAGCAGCAGAACGAACGCTAGAGAGCCCAGATAGAGTGAGGACTTGCTGGGGGCTGGGAGGCCTGCCAGCCTCCCAGCCCCCCAGCCAGCACCCCTGCCTGCCATATGCCTGGTGAACCCCAAATAAAAAACCTGCAAAACTACTGAGGACTCTGACTCCTCCTTTACCCGATCTGCATGGGATCAAAAAACCTGCATTGTGTCCGGTCCTGCCCTTACAAGTGTTCACTATTTTCTGCTTCCACAGTATTGATCTGATTTCATTTTTCTGGAGAAGGAATTTGTTGTACATATCCACATAGAAAAAGCAAAATAATGACACTTGAAGTTTATGAAATAGGATGAAAAGCTGTCTTATCCATGGCGTTAGCGTCCAGTTTTATGTTTTCTGGCTTCCTTGTTCTGGACTCACTGACTCACACATGGTGGCCATTGCTTCTATTATAAGGTTTGAGAAAAAGAGCTTACAATACTAAAGAAAGGGTATGGAGACAACCACTGCTTTCTCATTGACAGGACTGCAAGAACTGAAAGTACTTTTACACACAAATAACTAGGGGATAGTTTAGAAAAGATGCTATCAACTGACTAAAGCAGATAGAATGATCATAGATCTGTAGGTGCACAGAGGTCTCTAGAATGAACTTATCACATGGAGCAAATCACCTGCTTGTTACCAGCTACATGGAAGAATAAACAAGCTCCATTATCCTATTAATTCTATTGGAAAATATCTTCTGAAGTTTAGATAAATGATTGTAAATAGACTTTTGGAACACAAATCCATTATGTTGAATTTATTTTTTTTTTGATTTATTTTTTTTATACAAGCACTGGGTACAGTCAGAAGCACGGGAGGGTGAGAGAATTCACCAGAGCCAGAGCAGGGAGCAGAGCAGGAAGACTGACGAAACACACTGCTGAGGGGAGCAGAAGGCGGCAGGAGAGGTCTGCGCACCATGTGGGACCCTCCTCCAGTGGCCTGGTTGCAGACGGGGATCGAACTGGTGCTGCAGAGGCTGCCAGCAGCTTCGCAACACAGTGCTCAACCACTGCGCCACCGGGGAGGCCCTGAATTTAATTTTTTACAGATCAAATAGAACTCATTAAATTTACCTTTCTCAAACTTTCACAAACACCCAAATCCCTAAATATTCATGTTTCACAAGTACATGCTACTGTTAAAATAATCCATTAATCTTCCAAGTATGATTAAAGAAATTTCCTCTTGCTTTCCATCTAACCCATGTAGTGAGTGAAGCCTTTTGTCTTAAATAAATATAGACCTTCAGCCACTATTTAGTTAACTGCTCAGACCTTCCAAAGTGGAAGACTTGACTACTGTTCCTTGTGCTGTCCCCCTGTTAGGCTATTTTCCTGCTGCTTTTGTCCTTCCAGATTAAAAAAAAAAAAAAAAAAAAAAAGGTGAGGGGGGGGAACCTGTTTTCTCTCTGTGATTGTAATTGGTTACCTAAAATTTTTAATTATCTAAAAAGGGCCCTAAAAACTTCACAGGAATTAATATGAAGTGGGACTAGCTTGGGAAAATAATCTCTCAGTTTGGAGCTTTCCAAGTAAAACATTGTTTAAATTAGTTTTTCTTTTACATTTCTTGAGGGGAGAGGTTTGGATTCAGAACTTTTTAAAATAGTTACACGTTTATTTAAAAGTATAGATATATAGAATGGAAATACTATCTGTTTTCACAGAATTCTAATTAACTTGGTTTCAATTGATGAGTTACTGATTCATGTAAGCATCACTTGCTTTCAGATGTTGAGTATTTCCAATTATGGCCACTAGGTGGAGTAGAAACAAAGAAATCTTCTCAACCACCTGTCTGATTTTTTTTTTCTGCCCTATGAGATGCACTTTTTTGAACATTCCTTTCAGTGTCAGCAAGGCTCAGAAATCAAATGAACATAGGCCATGCAGAAAACAAGAATTTGGAATATATATTTTTTTGGATTCCAACCTGGATCATCAATTGCTTTAATTTTTCAGATAATAAAATATCAAAATGCTCTCGTATTAATATTTAAACATTTTACCAAAAACTGCAAGGTATTGTATCTTTTAAGAATACATCATGTATTTAAAAAAATACATTCAACCTTTAAGCATTAAAACATATATACATGTGCTAAATTGTATGAAATACCTATTTTTCCCCTTAATTATAACAACACTTCTGGAAAAGTAAACCAGGATCCCATTAGCATTCCTATTTAAACTCAGTAATATATAGTTTTGACATCATCTGCTTATGCACCAGTATTATGTCATGAATGGTATTGTAGGGTAAATAATTATCAGGTTTTTCTGCCCTCCCACCATTAGGATTGATGATGGATCCCTGCGGTCCTGAATGCATGCCTGATGGTGGGCACCTGGAGTGGGGTGTGGGCATGTGTAAGTGGATACACCTGGGCTGAAAGACTGGGATTATAAGGGTAGTGTCACGGGGACGCCAGCAGAAGAGAGCAGAGCAAAGAGAGTGAAACAACAGAGCGAAAAGAGAGAATGAAAGAGAAGAGAACAGAACCACCAGCAGAAAGATGGTGGCTGACTTTAACTCTTGATTTTTATGTAAAGAGGTGTTTAGAGTCTTATCTAAAGCCTCTACACACACAACACTCACACATGTGTACACAGTTGAGCCTTAAACAACATGAGGTTAGTAGCACTGATTGCCAGTACAGTTGAAAACGGGGCTAAAACCTATTAGTGAGTTCTTCAGAGTCAGGTTTCACATTAAGGGATCCAACCAACCCATATGGGGTTGAATCCATGAATGCCAAATCAGTGGATAGGAAAAAAAATCCTTGTACAAGTGAATCAGTGCAGTTTTAAGCCATATTGTTCAGGGTCAACTGTATATCAATTTGCAAGTGCAGATTTATTTCAGTAATAATCATGTTTATATGCATACATATATACATACATGTACATATATACACACATATATACATACTCACACATTCCCACACACATAAATAACATCATGATTTGGATAATGAGGGTTCTGGCAGCCAATTCTCAATCTAAGCTTGGAGAATAATACTAGCTTATCTAAAAGCTATTCTGTAAAATGATTTGACTTGTCTTTGACTTGGGTGACCTAAGAATTATGTTTTTGTATTTCCATCAGATCACTTGACAAAAACTCAGAAGATCCAGGTTCTATTTTTAAGTCTTCCAAAAACTAGCTATACGATGATAAGCAAATTCTTAATTTAATATTGCCATTCTTTAATTTTCCTATCTGTAAAATGGGCTAGATGATTTTTCTTGATGGTTCTGTTTTGGGATCTGTAAATTTACTGGGGCTCTTTTCACCTCTTGAGTTCTTGAGCTCTAAGATATGTGAAGACCAACAAACAATCTTTGAGTAATTGGGAAATGCTAAGACTGAGATTTTGCCTTTAAAAAAGCTAAATAAATTTTCAAGGAAAGGTTTACATACAGTCACAGTCTTGGCATCCATTTCAGTGAATATAAATTCTCCTCCTTCAAAGTCGTCGTTCATGTATAGGAGTGCACTATAAAAAGAAAGGCAAAGCCATTTGTGTGGTTTTATGCTCCCAACATCATCCCGGAATACTGAAGACTAAACAGCGATGAACTGACCAAGCTGATTAGTAAGTTTCTTTTGAAGTTGACCTTGAAATGGCTGATTCTATTAAACCTTAAGAGTACAGTCTTTGTAGTTTGGGTCATAACCCTGAAGTATTTATTTATTCTATTTATGCTAAAAATGTGAAATTGCAAAGCACACCTCACATTGCTGAAGAAAACATAACTAGATTTAATCCAGCCCCTTGAGCCAATCCACACTGCTCACAAGTCTCTTTATTCTCTTTATATTTGTGACCTTGAAGAGTGTACTTTCTCCAGAGGCTCCCTAGCCTTGCAGATAGGGGTGTTCATCAAATGTCTTGTACACAGCACAGTAATAATTAACACACCATCATATACATTGTGAATAGCCTGACTTTTCTCCTTACACACTAAAATATGTCTTTGTAAAAGAAATTTTGTTTTCCCGAGTCTCCAGTTTCTTGTGTATAAAATGCAGACTTAGACCCCTGTACGTGTCGCGACACCAGGCCCTCGTGTTTTCAGACTGAGATACACATACCACAGAGATAACTTTCTGTGAAAGTAAAGTGATTAAACAAAACAAACTTTACTTTTTAGATTAAAACAAATGGACATTTGGTGGAGTAGGATGCAAGAAAACACGCCTTGGTTTTGAAGATAAAATGTCAGATGATAAAGGTACTTGTGAGCTGTGGCAGCTGCTTCAGAAGATTATTTGAGAATCCCTGCTTCACAGAGATAAATGTGAAAACAAGCAAAACAGCTCAGCTTTCTAGTATCTGTGGGTTTGGACACTGCTGGGTAAAAGCTGGACTGTGAGGCAGCTGCAGGCTGTACCTGTAGTCCCGGAATGTGTAGGCAGGGGGCTCCTTCCAGCACTCGTTGGCCTCTGGGTCCAGAAGACAGTTGTCAGCATGGATGGGATGACTGAGGTCATTTCTTCTATCCTGTTGACCTGCCAAAAATGGGAACAGGAAGAATGAGCAGTGGAGGGCAGTAACCTCCAACAGCAGAACTGACAATCTGAGTGTCATCTTCTGTTGCCAACATCCCTGCAAATTTGAGGAGAGGGCAGCAGGGCAAGCAGATGAAAGACTGGCTGGGCAGTCCTCTCTGTGGCAAACCTGATGTCAAACTGTGGCACATCACACTTGCCTCTTCAGCCATCAAAGTTCTCTGATGTAGGTAAACATACAGAAATTCCATGCATTCACAGGTGCTGAATGTGGAGCAGTAAAAGCATGAAGCATGACAATGAAATGACAATGAAAGAAAAGAAAGATCTGATTCAGCTGAAACTTCACAAGTATATTAGAAGCCTACTCCTGTGGCTTTATTCTGTCTATTCAGGAAGGTGTAGAGGAAACAATCTAGAAAATAAATAATAAGGAAGTTCTCTGGCTGTTTAAGAACATTTTGTTTTGGCGGGGCCTCCCTGGTGGTACAAGGGGTTAAGTCTTAGCACTATGAAGCCATCCAAAGCCACTGCAGCACTAGTTCAATCCCTGGCCAGGGAGCTACCTGCATGGTGCAGCAGACCTCTCCTGTCTCACCCACTGCTCCCCTCAGCTGTGTATTTCAGTCAATCTGCCTGTTCTGCTCCCCACTTTGTCTCTGGTGAATCCTCTCACCCTCTGCACCTCTGGCCTGGACCCCAGTTCTTGTATGCATAAATAAATACATCTTTCAAAAAAAGTTTAAGAACATTTTGTTTTCAACAATCCCTTCATCTTCTCTGCCTCCACTCCATGCTTGTAGACATACTAATGACTATAATTTCCAGCTTCCTATTTCCCCAAATGTGAAATCTAGAACAGCGAAGCAATTTTTTTTTTCTGTGATTTAAGCAAGAAGGAGAAATGGATTTGAAAGAGAAAATAGCAGCATGGTGGTCTTCTTGAATTTTAGGGGACCAAAATACAAATAAAAAGGAAAGGGAAAAATAAGAGCTAGTAAGCATTTTTTATTTGGGAAATTTAGAGCTCTTCTAAACCACTAGCCTGAAATATAATCAAGTTTTGTTTTGAATTGTTTTCTTCCACATTTCACTGTGGGTTGCAGGGGTCAAGTTCAGATCCTGGAATCTTACCAGACAGAGCTGTTCGGCAGACCATGTGTGTATAGGAAAAGTACAGGGTTGAATTCAGCATGAAATAGGATTCTACAATCTTTCGAGCCTTCTCACTGATGTCATAAAACAGACGGGCGCTCTTCAGTGGGACTCGGCCTTCGTAACCAAACTGAAGCAAAAGAACATGAGGTATCACTGGGGTGGAAGAGGGTCTGAGAAAAGCAGGCCTTTAAGCCAATGTATGATGTTCACCTCTGCCTTGGCTACTGGGAATTCATATGTTTGTGGACTTAGGTTAGGAAGATGACCTACTGGAATAAGTTCTTCCTGATCACAGAGGGAATGTTAAAAGTCTTCACCACATCCCTTCTCTGCAAAGACTCTGCTGAGACTCATCTGGTTCCTCTGCATCACCACTTCTTGCAGTGCAGATAATTACTTATTAGACCATGAACTTCTTGAGGACTGGGTTGGGGTGGGGAGTTGACATTATTTATCAGATACAAATTTAAGAAATACAAAGTTTGATAAATTGATAACTGATTGGAGGATGATAGGATTTTTAATAAAGAAGATGCCATTTTATATTTGCTCTCTTCAACTGTTCTAATGGGTCTGTATTCTAAATTCCTCCCTTTCCAATATCTGCCATTCACAAAAGGTCCCGGATGGATAATTAAGGGCCCCATTGAAAAATGCTAAATGAAATAAGTCAAAAAGTGAAAGAAACATGTCATATGGTTTCACTCATCTGTGGAATATAAATAACAAAAAAAATACAAAGGCAAAATACAGTAAGATTAAATCTCAGTGAAAGAAAATAATGGACACCAGAGGGAACAGGTGGAAGGCAGCAGATGAGGCATTGGCATGGTGGTCTGGCGGAGGGTGAGTGGAACATGTATACATATGGAAGGGCAAAAATGTAGCTCCAAAAATTAAAATTAAAATTAAAAAAATGAGATCCTGAATACAAAATTTTACTGTGAAAACATTTCAGATATTATTCAAATTAAAAAGATTTTACTTTGAGTGCTTTCAGGACAGTTGCACCTTCAAATTTTTCATTGGGTGTATGGGGTGAAGTTTTTCCTCTGTATCCATCACCAACATGCATAATTCCCTGGAAGCAAAAATCAGAACATACTTTAGTAATGATAACTATGTATTCATCTGGTCTCCCTTTCTGCTGCGACTGCCAGAAATCTGAACACCAAAATCAGTACTCAGAACTATCCCCAATTTATTCTAGAATCCTGGTATAATTAATTCTTCCAATCAAGATATCCTTCTATTTAAGTTTCATTCTATTTTTTCATTATAAATATTACCACTTTCTATAGAAATATATAGACTATCAGTGATTAATACATCCATCAATTATTTATTAAAATAAGGGGATTTTTCCCCATGACTTCATAGGATAGGCAGGACACATGCTAAATGGCTATTGTCCTGAGAATTAAGCAACCAGTTATTCCAGATCTGGACATAGCAAGTGAATCTGGACCACAGTGAAAGCATCCAACTCCAAGTAACTCTACAATGAATGCCCTCTCCTCAAAAAAGTGAAATTTTAGGTCCTGTCCCTGACTCCACATGAGACATAGACCATAGCATGTCCAGGCTCACGCCAGGCCAGTGTGGTCAGGCTGCTCCCTTCTCGAGTCCTCACACTGGCCACGCTGTGAAGCTCCCGGCACTGTTCTTCAGATAGGACATTGTCCAGGAGAACCCGCTGAGTTCCATTCAGCTGTTCCGAGTTGTAGACGAACGTGATGTTCTCATAGAGCAGGGGGCCACCTGAAAGTACAGAGCACATTGTCTTTCCTGTTACCTCTCAAACATTTGAAATGCAGAAACAAGTCACAAATTTAGAAAGTTAATAACCATAACGTGGATTAAGTAAAAAGGCACATGACTGACTAACAAGTTTCACCATAATAATAGGTTTGCATATCATCCTTGTGCATGGCCATGCTTATCTTCTTTGTATCAATCTAATTTTAGTGTATGTGCTGCTGAAGTGGGAACTCTGGGGTAATCTTTATATCAATCTTTTTTGGGGGAGGTATGAGCAATAGTAGACATTCCTGTATACAACAGCTCTCTCCCAAACAGAACCTACAATTCTTCCGAGGATGTTGATCTGGGGTCATATTTTAGGAGGTGAAATTACAAAATCTAGACCTGACAAGTTCCTTTCCTCCCAAATAGACCAAAGGATAAAGCCTCTGATTATGAGGAATTCTTCATATGTAGCGCAGTGAAACCATTTTGAACCAGAAAACTGAGCAGAAAAGAAAAACAGTACTCCTTATGGACCTGGTTTGTGCCTGTCAATAACAGCTCGCCATGAGGGCAGGAGGGGCTGAGGTGAGGGAGTTCGCCTTCTCAGTGAGCAGTGGTAATGATCACCAACACACTGGTCTAAAACACATTGGTTGGGGGCCTCCCTGGTGGAGCAAGGGATTAAGTCTCAGCATTATGAAGCTATCAGCATTCACTGCAGCACAAATTTGATCCCAGGACGGGGAGCTAACCCACGCGGTGTAACAGACCTCTCTTGTCTGACCCACTGCTCACCTCAGCAGTGTATTTCGGTATATCTGCCTGTTCTGCTCCCCGCTCTGTCTCTGATGAATCCTCTCACCCTCCCAACCCTGCACCTCTAGTCCACACCCCAGCTCTTGTATGCACAAATAAATAAAACACATTGGTTGAAGGCACAAAAAACTATTGAAATTGATATCTGCTTTATCTCTTTAAATTGGATTAGTCAAGTTAGGGAACAACTTTAAGTGTTTATTGGTTAACTCAGGATAAAAGAGTACTATAGCCTATGATTAATGGAATATTAAAATAAAGAGACAATGTTCTTCAGTCTTGAGTAATGCATGGTTATCTACTAAAGCCAAAATTCCCTAAGGAGCTCTAATGTTGATGTTATCTTTACCGTAATTTTGCTTCAACATGTGCCTCATAAAACATGGTTACAGTATTTATTTTCAGTTTCAGAAAAGTATAATAACAAAATTAATTTACAAGAATTAAAAAAGCAAGATCATAAAACCAACAAAATTCAAATTGACTATATTAATGAAATGGTTAATGTTGTTTTGCAGAAACTGAGAAGCTACATTCTGCATGAATATTCCTACTAACTGATCTGGCCCAGTTCTTCAGAAATGTTTTGGTGTTTGATGACTCATTCTACTACAACTTTTCTCCTTTGAAACTACTGCAAAATCTTAGTGTATCAAGAAAAAATTTGTCCTCCATCTGGTCCTAATATATTATTTATTAGTCCTACTTCAATCTTTTATTCTTCAACCACTAAAATATTCTTAAATATTGTCAAAGTGAGAGTAACTGCACCTGAAACCACTAAGTGATGACACCTCATGACAGTACTTGACTATAAGGTGGTCAATTCAGATGTGCCACTAGTTGTTCCTCTTCATTTTTTTTTAAGTTGTCATCAAAATAAATAAATACAGAATTTCCTGGAATCCACAAATATATCCACAAGTTCCCTACTTTAGTACCAAACATTTCATTGAATAAACAAAATATCTCTATAAACAAAATATCTATATTTTTTTTCTATCATCCAGCATTTCTCCAACTCTGTTTTACAGAAAAGATTTTGTTAAAAAAAATATTTCTTAATGAAAAGTATTTTGGAGACACTAGGATTAAAAAAAAAAAAAATAAGGGCCTCCCCTTCCCTGGTGGCACAGGCGGTTGAGCACAGAGCTGTGAAGCTGTCTGCAGCCTCTGCAGCATGGGTTCAATCCCGGCCAGCTGGCAGGATACCCACATGGTGTGGCAGACCTCTCCTGTCTCGCCCACTGCTCCCCTCAGCAATATATTTCACTCAGTCTGCCTGTTCTTTTCCTCACTCTGTCTCTGGTGAATCCTCTCACCCTCTGCATCTCTGGCCTGTACCCCGGTTCTCATATGCATGAATAAATAAATCTTTTTAAAAATAAAAATAAAATTAAGAGAACTGCAGTTCTGCAACACCTGCTTTCCTCCACTGTGCTCTCTCAGGTTTCCCCTGACGCTCTCATTTGCTATTTCTGGAGAGTGTAAAACTCCTGGAGAGAATATCTAAAACAGAAAAAGAGGAAGACAAAAACCCACAACACTGGGCAACTTAAAACCTAAAGGGAATATTACACCACAAGGAAAGAATAATTCTCTAGAACCCAACCACAAAATTTTGGAATATCTTATTTTCCTATTAAACAAAGAGTTAAAAATTACCATAATAAAGAAATTTAAACGAATGTAAGAAAATTCAGAGAAAAATGAATGTCATGAAAAATATAATTAATGAATAGAAATTAGAAATTGAAAATTTAAACAAGAAAATAAGGGAATTGCAAGATTCAAAAAGATCAATAGAGGAGATTTAAAAAAAAAAAAACTTCAGAAAGCTATGGAAACAGACTAGACTCATTTAGAAAGAAAAGGAGAAAATTTTAATCACTAGTCTCGTAAATGGAAGAGTAGAAGTTATAACAGACATTTCAGGAAAACATTGGTTCGTGAGAGGTAAATATGAGTATTTATATGCCAACAAATTCAATGAGCTAGATGAAATGCACAGATACTTAGAAATCTACAACCCTCCAGACAGAATCAGGAAGAAATAGAAAACCTGAACAGACTAATCACTAGCAAGAAAATTAAACCTTCCCCAAAACAAAAGCCCAAAGTCAGACAGTATCACCAGTTGAGTTGTACTAAATCTTCAAAGGTGGACTAATATCTATTCTTCTCAAACTCTTCCATAGAATTGTATACATTCTATGAGGACAACATCACTCTGATACCAAACCTGACAAAGACATCACAAAAAAAAGAAAATTACTGACAACACCCCTGATGAACACAGATGCAAATTCTGAATGAGGCATCTTATAAGCATGTGGCGTAACAGTGTATATGTAAGAGAGCTACAATGACATTGATAATACCCCTCAAATCTTCAAAAATAACATACAAAGATCAGATGAAGAAATAGATCACAACATGGAGTTTCAAATGCCTAAACCCTAACAGGTTCAGGCAGAATGTATTCTAGAAATCTGCCCCTCATTTAGCTAACACAAACACCACTAAGCATAGAATTTCATACTGAGGTTTCCCACACATACACTTAACAAACAACTACCAACTAACTACCCACTAACAAACAGAAAGGGGAAAAAAAGTCTGTCATTCAAAAAAGCAAGTCTACCAGCCTATAAATGACTAGTAGCACACCAGACAGAGAAAAACATTAAAAATAAAAATGTAGTTCAAAGAGTTGCGGTTGCTGGGGACTGGATTTGATGGCGTTAGCCAACTCCTAACCACAGCCCAAGGAGATTTAGTTAAACAATTTAATTCTCTCATTCATAAAGTATGTGCTTAGCTCTAATTCTCCCTTTGCAATAAAGTGGCATTATGTAGGAAAATGCTTCTTTATGTTCTGTGCCTGTGGCTTATGGCAAGAAGAACCATTTTACCATAAATATCACATCTTACAAGTCATGAAAACAGTTTGTAGACTGAAAGTCCTTAAATGAGCACATCCTTTTACAGTCTACACAAGACTTCATATTCTTCCTCACTAAAGAGTTACTATCCTTCTTTTACAGATGAGGATAATAGGGTCCAGAGAGATGGCTTTAGATTTCCATAACTGCAGAGCACATCAGACTAAGGCAATCTTGAAAACCAGGCATCCTGATTCCATGTTCAAAGTTACTTTTCCTATAGCCCCAACAACTTGGGGATTATTATTGAGTAGGGCCTTTGGAAAATGGGTGGCTGAAAAGAGAATGGATAAGTAAGTGGCAGATGTTTTCAGTAAGTTGACTGGCATATAGCCCAGGCTTACTCCCATCTTAATCCTTGGGAGCTGTCCAATATGAATATGACGACACACTGTTAGGTAACCAGAGTAGATGATAATCTCTCTGTGTAAGATGAGAAAAACTGAAATATATTCTATTCTGACATCTGTTTTCAGCCAGACTAAGATGTGAAATGTTTTCTGGTTGGGAAGTTTGCCTCTGTCTACCACTGTTCTTAATTTAGACCTTATTTAGATCTCTAATGACTGTACCAAAGGCTTTCTAGTGGGTTCCCGGAGAATATTCTAAGATGCACTAGCCAATTTAAGGAAATTCTGCAGAAATAGTTGAATTTGGTAATGCAGCCATATTTGTGCATCATGTGTAGTCTTTTTTTCTACTAACCCCATTAGTCTTGCTAGCCAGTTGCTACATATCAGATTCCCTGCTTGCCAGAAAAAAAAAAAAATGCCCTGAAATTTGGCAGTTCTTCTGGAGTTTCCCAAACCTTCACAGCAAAGTCCTGGCTTATTGGCATGTACTTCCTGGGTGATTTTCCTGGCTTAAAAAGCACTGTGAACTCTGGCTGACCATGGAATTCTCTGGCACTGTAAAACAGCCTGGCTTTGTGGCTATGAACTGAGGTCTAGGTCAGATTAGATGAGCATATTATCCTGTTTACTTCCTTGAACTGACTTCAAACTAAGGAAGGAAAGGGCTGGGAAATGAGAGAGTTATAGGGAGCCAGAAATTTTCAAATCATCTAGAGGAACACACTGACAAGCTCTCTTGTTGGGGTATGGAATGCTGTGCTTCATCCCATTGCAAGTTTTTGGACACTTCTTGTCTTGTGATTACTTAATCAATGGGGAGTCCATTTTGGATATCAAGACAAACTTATGTCTAAGCATTAGGTGACAAAAAGGAAGAGAAAATGGAATTTGGATTTAAAGGTCTAGGTTCAAATGCCTGCTCAATCCTTTATGAGTTGTCGAGACTCTGGAAAAATCTGTGAGTAACTATTTTATTTTTTTTTCTTTTTTTTTTAAATAATAGATTTTATTTTTATATTCCCCATACAATTGCAACCCCCCCATTTTGACCCCAATCCTCCCCTCCCACCCCCCACCCCCCACAAAGTGTCTCTGGTTCATAGTTTTTTGTTGATTTTGATTTTCACTTTCTTATAGTTATTCATTTTCCTGGTCCCTTATTTAAGTTTTCTAGATTCCTGCTATGAGTGAGACCATCCAGTATATTTCTTTTTCTTTTTGGCTTATTTCGCTGAGCATGATCCCTTCCAGCGCCATCCATGTTGCTGCAAATTGCATGTGTTTATCTTTTTTGAATGCTGAGTAATATTCCATGGTGTATATGTACCACATCTTCTTGATCCAGTCATCTATTTTTGGGCATTTGGGCTGTTTCCAAAGCTTAGCTATTGTAAACAGTGCTGCTAAAAATATGGAACGCTTCACGAATTTGCGTGTCATCCTTGCGCAGGGGCCATGCTAATCTTCTCTGTAGCGTTCCAATTTTAGTATATGTGCTGCCGAAGCGAGCACGAGTAACTATTTTCTTGCTTATGAATTGGAGATAATTTTTCTATGAGTTAATGGCAGTATTAAAATGAATTATATGTACATTTTTTGCAAACTGATAAAGTATACAGAATTAATAATAACTTTGATATAACTACTTCCATTACTACTGCTATTGCTAATAGTTTATTACTGACTATTTAAAGACGACATTGACCTTGCTCCAGTTTTGTCCTTAACTAAGCAGGCACATCCTGTTGTGCATCTTCTCTCCATTGCTAGATCTTTGCCCCATTTATTTCATCCTATAGAATGATTTCCTCTACATCACTGTCAATTCACCCTAAATTCTACTGATGTCTCAAAGCCCTACTCAAATCTATGTGCTAAGCAAGTTAGGTTAACTAACCTAAAGCCCCCCATGACCTGTTTTTACAGGTTCTCCTGCTAAACGGTCTGTTCCACACTGTCCAGTCTGCACTCACTCTGTGTGACAGAGGGAAACCTTATAACCTTTCGAGGCATCAGGTACTGAAGTGAAGATGTTGATGGCCACACAGTCTCTGCCTAGCTCATGATTCCCGCGGGAAACAGATGGCGTTACTCTGGAGAATTTTATAGTGAATCAAAGGTAATGACATAAAATGAGACATTCTTGATTTTAATTCTTGCTTTCAGACTTTTATAGACTCCAGTAGCGTAGTTATATTCTTCATATTCCAAGAAAGGTTGGTCCTGCCTTGATCTGGATAAGAGCCAGCCAAGTCCCAAACTCCTGCCCCTACTTCAAAGAATAAAAATGCACAGATACTTACCCTCTCTGAGGTCTCGTTCTATCTTGGATGATGATTTTTTTCCCATTGACAATCCATGAACTTCTGCCCCTTCTGTGCTCACTCCTGAGGGGACCCTGCCCATTCAAAAAAATTGAAATAGCAATTCCCCATTGAATACAAATGTTTAAGGGCAAAATTCCCTTACTGAGATAGTGTGAAGTTAAGACAAATGGTTATATCATGTTTTTGTTGTACACAAGTTCATGTGTCTTTCAGGAACAAATTAGAATCATTGTCTCCATGAAGTTCTCATCTATTTCCTTAGCTAGTGTTCTCTATCTCACTTATTAAGTCTTCGTCACAATGTTTATTACAGTTAATTGTATTCATAACTTAACCCCCTGAGGTTAGAATTTGAATCTCAACAGAGCAGGAAAAAATTATGCCATTCATCTGTATAATGCTCAGAGTGTCATATTATGACTTGAACATAGATAACATCACTAAACAGTGGTTGAATTGAAATATAGTGTTCTAGTGTTGTGGCTCTTGACCCTGAGAAAAAATTACAAGTCTGTGTCAAACTTTGAAAAACACAATATATCCTTACAATATGCAAACATTGAATAATCCAAATGTGCATATATATTTTGGGATCTCTTACAATGGTTTTAAGCCTCTCCGTGTGTGGAGTCCTTGAAACCAAGTGATAGACTGAAAGACCACAGGATTTTGAATATATATATATATATATATATATATATATATATATATTTGTGTGAAGACAGAAAGAGTGCTAGATCTGCCAGTCCCTTACGGTAAGGTTCTAAGTAGGCTATATGCATTTTCAAGATCACAGTTAACCTTTGAAAATGAATATAACATGATCTCAAACATGTAACTCCAATACCTTGTGATTCCTAGAACTGCTCATAACATGCAAATTGACCTCTAATGTCTATCATGTAAAAAATGAGTTTGTTTAATTTCTGATTAAGTTAGTGACACCTAATATTTTAAAACTTTTTGAGTCTCATGCTTTCAAATAAATGCAGTAAGGGAACTCAGTGTCAACAAGAAAATTTCAGTTTTAGTCTATTAATAAGTCAAAACAGTATGCAATTTTCTCTGACCTAGAATCACCTGCTTAGCCTTAAGAAATGACCTGATTCAGCCTCTGAATTTAAGAAAAAGCATGCAATCCACAGATGTACATAAATTACTCAAGTTCACACAGGAGTGATGGGGGATAAGGGATTCCCAATTCCCCCCTACTTGGAAGTCTTTTAGTTACATCATTGTCTGTTGTCTGTTGTCCTGTTGTCTGTTGTCCTATTTTCTATAACTTCCTAACAGTTCAAAGAATTCTAAGTATTTCTTCTCATTAAAAATACAAAAGTTTTTGTACTGAATAAAGAACTCACCGATTCTCATCCTGTCGTCCTCCATATCGGATCCAATAATTCTGTTTTAAATTAAAAGAAAATATAAAAACATCAATGGTTTGGTACTAAGAAATCAACTATAGAAATGAGATAAAATATATACTTAGAACACTCCAAAGACCTAAAATATTAGGAAATTAACATATTCTCTAAAAATACAGTATATTTTCCTATTTGACAAATATTAATAAAAAGAAAGGCTAAGGTTGCTATAATTTTGGAAAGAAACAAAATGATCCATAAATAGATAAAAAATAATATCATGAAATTATCATAGCCATCCGTTGTTTTGTTCAAGAAAGTGATTTAAAATTTAATGTGGAAAAGACACTTTTTTAAACATTTTTTTAAAGATTTATTTATTCACATATACAAGATCTGGGGTATAGGCCAGAGGTGTGGAGGGCAGCAGGAGTGAGAGAATTCACTAGAGTAAGAGCGGGGAAAAGAACAGGTAGACTAACTGAAATATACTGCTGAGGGGAGCAGCAGGCAAGTCGGAGAGGTCTGCTGCACCACATGGGCAGCTCCCTGGTGGGGGATTGAACTCATGCTGCAGTGGCTGCAGACAGCCTCATAGGCTGCATCTAAACCCCCTGCACCACCAGGGAGGCCCAGAAAAGACAATTTAAAAAGACCATCAAGGTCCTACCTTTTATGCTTTATGAATAAAATCAATAAACAAAAAGTCCAGAAGGAGTAATTATCTGTACAGGAACATAAAGTAAGTGAAATTTTCTGGAATTTCCTGGGATTTAAAAAAAATAATTAGTGGGCCTCCCCTGGTGGCGCAGCAGTTGAGCGCTGGGCTGTGAAGCTGTCTGCAGCCTCTGTAGGGCCAGTTTGATCCCTGGCCAGCTGTGAGGGTCCCACATGGCACGACAGACCTCTCCTGCCGCGTCTGCTGCTCCCCTCAGCAGTGTATTTCATCAGTCTGCCTGTTCTGTTCCCCGCTCTGGTTCTGGTGAATTCTCTCACCCTCCTGAGCTTCTGACTGTACCCAGTGCTTGTATAAATAAATAAATCAATCTTTAAAAAATATATTAAAAAATTAATAATAATTAGTAGGATTGATATAAACATATTTACAATGTTATATTAGAAAGAATACATTATGTTAATTTTTAAAACATGCCAATAAAAAATATATGACTAAGACCAACCAACCCTACAAATATGATTACAGAATTGAGGCTACCTGAGAGGGAGGGTGGAGGGTAATTTGGGGAAAGGGGCACAATGAACTCTGTTGGAGGACTAGGGATACTGCGGTGCCTAGTCCAGTAACATACATCTGAAGAAGAGAAAATCTATCCCTAAATCATAGACAGTATTGTATATGAAATGACTTCAATAAAAAATAATACAATAAGACAGTATTACAAAGGATATATAACATACAGTATTTTAAAAAGCATATTAAAATGTACATTATATAAAGAACTTATATAGCAACCACATACATGAATAAAAAGCATGCCCAGATAATTTAAATTAAAGGAAAATTAATAACACAAAACTTTATTTTTGCTGGTCATCAAAGCAATATGAATTAAAACAATAATGTACCATTTTATTTATGCTATATGAGCAACAGAAATGATTTTAAAATTTTATTTCTCATTGCTGAGATGCTTGTGGTAGACTGGACACTAGGAGTGGTACATTACTGGGAATTGAAAACTCTCTTAGAAAAGAAACATCAAGAACTTCAAAACATTTTAATGGCAGAATAATCCCATTTCTAGAAATTTATTCAAAGGGTAGAGTTTAATAGAGAGAAAAATGCTTAGTTTATTAGAATGGTAGAATAAATCAGAAATAAATGTTCAGCAGCAGCAGAAGTGGTAACATATTTATTGCACATCAACTTTATAGATTTAGTTAATAATAATTTTAAGAGTTGCAGGAATATAGAAATATCTTATTATAAGTAAGTAAAATTCATAGGAAAAATCTATACCATAGTAGTAATTCTGAAAATGCATACATTTTCATATGAAAAATGTTTATAAGACAACATAGAAAAATCGGGAAAAGACAGCATGATGGATTTATGATTGATTTTGTTCTGTTTGAAGTCTTTTCATATTTTAAATATTTGAGAGGAAATAAAAATGTTGTATATAGTATTTAGGAAATGAAACAATCTTAAAGGAAATGCATCATATACAAAATACTTCTATCCATATATATTTGCTTTTGACTGAACTTCAGTGATAATGGAAAACTGTTAAAGTCTTCTAAAGTTCATCACATACAATGAGTAAAAATGCCTCCCACTACAGTTTTTGTTAATGCAAAGTAAGGAATCAGAATCTTCACAAAATGTGGCTAAGGACTAATATCATAAGACGAACACTGCAACACTGTTTAAAAAAAATTCTTCTTTCTTCTTCCCTCTTACCGGTTCAGAGTATGAAAATCCCAGCCCCTCTGCAGCTGATTTTATGAGTTGTGATTCCAGTTTATAACGTTTTATGAACATGGCCATATCCTAGAGAAAAAAAAGAAAGCAAATTTATATTTAAGTAACAGTTAAGAGATATGATAAATGCTCAAGTGGATATAGTTTTCATTAGAGAAAAGGAACTAAAAAAACAAAATCCAGAGTTGCAAAAATTGTCTCCAGCTCAACAGATTTTCACAAGTTAGCACATATGAGAAAAAAATATGCTTTTGGCATTAATAACCAAGTTGAACTAAAAATGGACCTATCATATGATCCAGTTATTCCATTTCTAGGAATCTATCCAAAGAACACAAATATACTGATGTAAAAGAAAACCTGCACTCCTATGTTTATTGTAGCACTTACAATAGCTACCATATGGAAACACCCTAAATGCCCCAAAACAGATAAGTGGATCAAGAAGATGCGGTATATATACATAATGGAATCCTACTCAATGATCTAAAAAGATCAACTCATGCCATTTGAGGCAACATGGATGGAGCTGGAAGGGATTATGCTCAATGAAATAAGTCAGAAGAAAAAGAGAAATATTGGATGGCTTCACTTACAGGTAGAATATAGAGAAACAAACAATAGGGTCAGGAAAAAGACAAAACTTGCAAGCTGACCATTGATCTAAGGCAGACAGCAGGGGAAGAGGAAGAATAGAAAAAAAAATTAAGTTGAAAATAATTGAATTGTAGAGTCTTTACTAAGTTGTTAAAGCTCTTTAACGGCAGTGTTATAGTTTTACCAGCTCCACCAGAGTACCGAGCAAAATAGTTCTCTCAGAACATTGGTCTCACCTCTCTGGCCTCAATGGATGCTGGGTCAATATTGTCCTCCAACAGACTCTCATAGTAATCGACATTGTCTAGGACATCCTTATCATCCGGATGGAGTAGAAGATAAGCCTTAGCACACTCCAATGCTCTCACATATTCACCAACTGAAAGACCAAGGAGTTGCAGCATTTGAGTCAGCTTAGGTTTGCCTAAAAGGATTTTTAATAGCTACTTCCACATATCTATGAGAGGTCAGTAGTAAATGTCAATATGAGGGAAGACAGGGTGAGGTTAAGTAGTGTAAGCAGAAATAGTTGCAGATAAAAGGAAGGACTCAATTTTGGGTATTCAAAAGATACTACTCTTGGTCGGCTGCAGAGCTAGATGTGTTGCATACATTTTCAAAAGTTTCCACCTGAAGGTATTTGTTGGAAAGTGAATTCTGTTTTTTGTACTAAATTTGACACCATGCTATTTAAGACTAATCTCAGCAATCTAAATTTTATTAATTGCTTTTAAACATAAGTAAGATGCGCACTCTCTTTCTCGGTAAGATAAATGGATCCAAAAGCCATATTGAAATGATCAACTTTCATCTAATGGGGAAAGTCTGAAAATTTGATAATACATTTTGTTGAAGGACAACAAAAATTATGCTCCATATGGAGGGAATTTGGAAACATCTATCAAAAGTACAAATGAATAAACATTTTGTAGTAGTTGCACTTAACAGAAATTTATTCTAGATATTTATGTGCAAATAGGAGATGTCATATTTAAAGTGTTTTTCATTTTACTATTGATTGTGATAGCTAAAAGTTAAGAAGCAACACAATGCCCATCAGCATGGAGACACATGAAATGAATTATATAATAATATGGAGATAGAAAGGAAATTAATGAGGAAGATCTCTGTTTCTGACATGTTATAAAAAGGTTAAGCCATATAAAACTGCCAAAATGTGACCATTTTTGAATTAATTAAAAGGTAACTTCATAAGTCCAACCTATTAAAAAGTTGTATTAAGTGAAGAAAATATGGTAAAAGGCAGTGTAAGTAATATGTGATCTTCTGTGTACAAGTGGGGAAGGTAAGTCAGAATGCGTATGTGTGTCTGAAGGGGTGTGTGTGTAGTATATGTGTACCTAACAAGATAAATAAAAAAAAACTGTTCTAGGGCATGAAATTGGCTTGTTGAGTAAAAGAAGAAAGGCGGGTTTTTATGTCATAGGAATTAATGAATACTTTGTCTTTTAAAATTAAATTGAAATACATTAAACTTAAAAATCATATAAAATGTCAGTCTAGTGTAACTTTCAGGCATTACCACTTTTATCCACTTGTACTTTCACCTTCTGTTCTCATATTGAGCTACAGTGATATGAGATGAAAGAGAAAATGCATATCCCCTCCCCCATTGATTTGATGGCAAACTAAAGAATACAGAAGACTAAATCATCAAAATTCAATGCTTGTAATGATTGACATCACCAGATTCCCCCAGAGTATCATGGATGATCCACGCTTTACCTCGGTAGTAGGCAAACTGTAGGTAGTCATAATGCAGGGGGAGAAAATTCTCAATCGGTGAGAGACGGCCAGGGCGGGTGGCAAGTTCCCTCACACATTCATGCTGACAAACCAGCACCTGGATGTAGTGATCTGGAAGACAAAAGTGGGTTCCTCTTGTCTGCCTGCTGTCCAGACCCTAGTCACACAGGACATTCTCACCCCCTGTACTATGACAGCAAAACTATTATTCTTACTTCATGACCAGAAAACCTTTTCACAAAGAAAGTAAGACTTCCCAATCCCCCTTGTCACAGAGTGATAGTGGGGTTCAAATCTTGGGGCTCCTGGTGTTCCATACTGTACTCTTTACTTCCTGTGAATCCTTTCTTCCATATCTCCCAAAAGTGACCCAGGCCACATAATCCCACCCATGCCCAGCTGAAGAATTTGAAGAAGCACTTTGCCTCCTTCTCTCTGTTCCCCTTTCTAGTGTCCCCAATCTTCTGGTTTCCAAATAGTCAAGGATCTTGAAATCCAAAGATTGCGTTGTTCCCTTTAGCTCTCTGCCACTGATCATGAGCTGAGGAAACACAAGAGGGTAACACCAGAGAATAGAACACTTTCCTACATTTTGTGTCTTTTTTTTACAATGAAGATGGAGTCACTTCAGTCTTTTCTAGAAAGAAAATATTTCATTCATGCTTGTACTGAGTGAGTTCCCATGAGGACGATGATGGAAATATGTGACTTCATGACTGAACGGTTTAATTTACCATAGTTGCCTTCTTTCAAAGGTTCTCTGTTAGGCAGGCTTTGGCTTGTGTCTCAATGACCTTGCAGAGAGACCCCAAAACACAACAGGAAGGAAAAGTACATTTTCTGGTACATAAGAAAATGTGCCAGTTTTCACACAACCTGGCCAACTCAATCTAATATAGCACAGCTAATAGAATCCCTACAGTGCAATGGTTCTTACCTCCAGTCGGGGGATGTGAGGGGAAGAATAAGTTTGTTTATGTGATTAGCATTTCAGAAATAAATAGATGGCTGTTTTATTTCTTAAGAAAACAACAACTAACAACCCTCAACTGTGTTCTCATAGTTAACTGGCACTTGCATGCCTCCTGACTTATAATTCCACATGACAAGTCAGAGGAAAAGGTGGGAATCACACCTATTAAGAGCCTAAAAAATGAAATGTTTTTTAAAGCAAGATATAAATAGCAAAATGAGAGTGACAAAATGACATCCTTTGGAGCTTCTAAGCACAGCCAATAGTAAATAAATGCATTCAGAAGACATTTGTAATTTTCTCTAATTATTAATGTTCTTCTAAGACTAAAATTTCACTATTTTGGCTTTCCAAATACATTCGTGTTTTAAAAGCTAGTTTTCCTCCTAATTTAGAACAGTTTAAAACAGTTAATAATTGCATAGTGGGCCTCCCTGGTGGCACAAGGAGTGAAGACGCAACCTATGAAGCTGTCGGCAGCCAGTGCAGCATGAGTTTGATCCCCCAACCAGCCAGGGAGCTCCCCACATGGCACAGCAGACCTCTCCTGACTCGCCCGCTGCTCCTCTCAGCAATGTATTTCAGTCAACCTGCCTGTTTTGTTCCCCTCTCTGTCTCTGGTGAATCCTCTCATCTCCCACACCTCTGGCCTGTACCCCAGTCCTTGTATGCATAAATAAATAAATCTTTTAAAAAATTTCTGAAAAAAGAATTTGCATAGTGAGTTAAAATATCACACTAAATTAGTTGTATTCCTTGCCTCCTTTTTATATCAAATGGTAGTGTGAAATTAATATGTTTTTAATGCATTTGAGATGTAAAACACATAGGGATATTTTAAAAAGTTTTCTTTTAATAAATCAGATATATAAAATTACTGAGAAGACTTATGTTCCTGTAATACATAGCATTTGGTTTGAACTTCAGTGACTGAGATTTTTAAAATCACCTTTCTTTATTGAACGTGGAGATAATGGTGATGGTAGGTAGGGTGTTAGGTATTGAAGGATCTAAGTGAGGAGAATTCCACCAATCAGCAGTCTGTGGTATGGTAACTCAAGCAAATCACGAAATGTTAATATGGGAAATCGTCAATTTTCCCAAACCAGATCTAGGATATTTGCCAATATTGTTTAATGGCCAGTGCTAGAGGCAAATGTAGAGGTGAATTTAGGGCTGTAGTGAGGGCACATGTCTCACAAGAGCACAAGATACCAAAGCATAAAAAAAGAAAAGTCTGCCTGTTTTCAATGTAGTATACAGAGAGTAACTGAAATGTAGAACAGCGATGAAACCGGTAATTAAATGAACAGTACATACAGCAATGAAGGCAAATAACTCCACTTAACAAGAAATACATTATTATTACTTATGATAATTATTATTAATGATTTATATGGTACATTTAAATATTAAAAATATTAACTATTTGTAACATTTTTGCATTTTTCCACTTATTTTAAATCTGCTTGTTGTAATGCATTTTTTATAATTTAAAATTTTATGAAGACTATCTCTTTATTTTTCTTATCTTTTGTCATGCTAAGAAGAGCTTTTCCTCTTCTACTATTATCCAAATATTTGCCAGTATATTCATTTAACAGTTTTATTTTTTCACTCTTCTGATGTTACTATAAATAGATTTCTGTGCTTTTTTAAAAAAAAAAGATTTATTTATTTATTTATACAATCACTGGGTACAGTCAGAAGTACAGGAGGGTGAGAGAATTCACCAGAGCCAGAGCAGGGAGCAGAACAGGCAGACTGACAAGTACACTGCGGAGGGGAAGAGCGGGCGCGGCAGGAGAGATCTGCGCGCCATGCGGGACCCTCGCCGGCAGCTGGGGATTGAACCGGCACTGCAGAGGCTGTGGGCAGCTTCGCAACCCAGCACTCAATCGCTGCACCACCAGGGGAGGCCCTCTGTGCTTTTAATCTGTATGGAGGACAGAACTCACTTCCCATCATAATAGTTAACTAGCCAATCTCCCCATTAATGTATAATGTACTTTATCTACTATTTAAAATGCCATTTTGTAACATATTAAATTTCCTTATATATAATGCTATTTTAAGTAATTGAGACTACAAAAAGAGTTTACTATTATACTATTTATAATAATAAAAAAATGCTGTAATATACATCCATAAAGAACTAGTCAACAAATTATGCTCTCCCCATAAAATGGAACATTATGCAAATAGTAAGGTAGATCTAGATATACTTACATGACAAGAAGTCCACAATATATTGTTAAGCATAAAATAAAACAAAACTACACTGAAAATTATGCTGTAAAACTGTCTAATTTTACAAAGAATGAAACTGTAATAATAAATAAATACATAAATATTTACATATGTACCTGGGAAGGTTTGGGGGCAGAAATACCAAAATTTCAAATCGGTAAATTTATCTATGTCAGATAAGATAGGGTAGATACAAATCTTTTACTTTTTATAATATGTACTTCTACGTATTGGTGTTACTTCTATAGGTTACACAAACTATTTCTATAATAGGGAAACACATAAAGGGGAAAAAATAATCTTTACCTGCAATGGCTTCATAGAGACCACCTTTATACCTTAAATATTCATACTCTTCAAATCTCTGAGGCCCCTCACACAGGATTCGACACTCCATCTCTTCATTGAAATATTCTCTTAAAGCCTGTTCGAAGTACTTGATAGCCAGCACAAAGTCATCAGCCTCATAATGTTTGACTCCTGTACTGTAACTCTCCTGCAAAGAAAGGGACTTTTTTTTCCCCAAAAAAGCACCCAGGTGACACTTGAATTGCATGATACAGGAAGACTCAGGATTCTTCAGGTAGGTGGGATATGGCACGCACATTGTGGAGGGATAAAATAGGGGAGCTCTGGAAGATAAAGTGTAGCTGCTCTGGTTTCATCTAATTGTAAATGTAAAAGGATTTACTGTGTAAATCAACTGCTGCAGCATCAATGAGTTTCATTTTCTTTCTGGGCACACTCAACATTGTGTTTGCTAGCTCCTACCAATGTAGTAGGTCATGCAACAAGTGCCGGAAGACTGATGTGGGTGGAAGTGACATCCAAATCCAGTCCTGGCCCAGTTAAAAAAAGAAAGATTTTCATCTAACATCTTCCCTCTGACCCTTTTCTGCAATTTTGGAGACCACACATTGAGAAAAATGACTCCAATCCAAAGAGAAGCCCTTGCAACATTGTGATCTCAAGTAAAATTTCATTTAAACAAATAATTATGTGAGTTTAAATAATAACAAACAGAATTTAAAAAGCATAAACACAATGGAAAAAACACTGGACTGCAGGCAAGAAAATGAGGAACCAAAGTGTGACCCTCGGCAATTCACATTGGCTTCAATTCCTGGATGTACAGTTGAAGTGGCAGCAGAGGAGCTGAGACTCAGAGAAGGTTACAGATATTTATATCATGTTTCACTTTTTACTGTAAATACTGATGTTCAAAATTAATTTTCATTTTAATTTTTTTCAACCTTGACAATTTCTTCTATGAAATCTGAGAGTACAAAAACAGTTCTGTATTTGAAATCGGGACTAAATTTGAGATATCCATTCATAGACTCAATCTTCTTTGAGTAAAATGAAACTTAGGAGCACTTAGCTCTATGAAGTCCTGGCAGGGGGCCCCAGAGCTCACCAGGTGTGGTTTGGCTTCTCGATCTACCAACTGCAATGCTTCAACGCCCACCATTGTTCTGTAGTTCTCGATGTCCTGCTGCATTTCCATGTGCTCAGGGTTGGCCATAAAAAATGTATGGGCTGCTTCTACTGCCTTTTCCAGCTGGTTAAGCTGTGGGGGGGAAAAAGACCATATGAAGGCAAACATTTCTAAACCAGCGTTGGTCCAAGATCTCACAGCTTGAAAGTGGCAAGGTCAGGTTCCAGCTGACATTCACTATACTCAACCACCATATTAGAGGGCAGGAGGTTAAAGAAACAGTTTTTAAAGTGATATGCTTTGTTAAACTGCTTCCCTGTTTTTCCTAAGCCATCTGTGTTTTCAGGGAAAACGAATCTATATGCTTCTGTTTATTTGATAATTAATCAAAATACTGCCAATGTTTTGCTACTTTTAATTCACACTTTCAACATTTCTGTCCTTTTTCCCCCCTTCTTTTCTTTTTGATCACTTTGTCTTTAATCATGACAATGGTTGCATACACAAACCTATGCTTTTCCAAAGAATGATACTGGGTATATCTCCGGCTCTGCCAAATTTGTTCTCAGGTTTTAGGAAGTAAGGAATGAAAAGTTGAAAGGAATATATTATTACAGTGCAGATAAGATGCTTCCTACAGAACATAAAAGACCCTACCACACTCCTTTTTGATTTCTAATTTACAAATTTGATTCTGATACAAAGGGAAGAATTCTTGGGCCTCCCCGGTGGCGCAGCGGTTGAGCGCTGGGTTGCGAAGCTGCCCGCAGCCTCTGCAGCGCCGGTTCGATCCCCGGCTGCTCCCCGGCCACGGGAGGAGGGTCCCACATGGAGCGCAGACCTCTCCTGCGGCCTGCTGCTCCCCTCAGCAGTGTACTTCGGTCCTTCTGCCTGCTCTGCTCCCTGCTCTGGCTCTGGTGAATTCTCTCACCCTCCTGTGCTTCTGACTGTACCCAGTGCTTGTATAAATAAATAAAAATAAATCTTTACAAAAGGAAGAATTCTTTTTTTTTTTAAGATTTATTTATTTATTTATACAAGAACCGGGCTACAGGCCAGATGTGTGGGAGGGTGAGAGAATTCACCAGAGACAGAGCGGGAACAGAATAGGCAGACTGACGAAATACACTGCTGAGGGGAGCAGCGGGAGCAACAGGAGAGGTCTGCTGCGACATGTGGGGCCCTCACCAGCCGGCCAGGATCGAACTGGCACTACAGAGACTGCGGACAGCTTCACAGCGCGGTGCTCAATCGCCTGCACCATCAGGGGAGGCCCAAAAAGAAGAATTCTTAATAACCACCACACCAAATCATAAATCTCCTCCTAATGATGCATTTTGGGGGGCAAAATGGAGTTAAATTTGCACAATTTAAGACATTTTCCATACGCTTTACTCATGGAGAATGCTCACAATCAGATCCATTTACTCCATATCAGAAAAGTAGGTATTCACATTAGTGGGTTTTTTCAGGGTGAAATTCAAGTACATTTGATTTTTTTTTAAAGATTTATTTATTTATTTATGCAAGCACTGGGTACAGTTAGAGGCACGGGAGGGTGAGAGAATTCACCAGAGCCAAAGCGGAGAGTAGAACAGGCAGAGTGACGAAGTACACTGCTGAGGGGAGCAGTGGGCTACAGGAGAGGTCTGCACATTTGATATATTTTGAAGCAGGAAGAAACGAAGACTCACTGTTATTGAACAAGTAAATATAAAATCACAAGGTGTAAGATTCAACTGGTCTGCCCAGTTAAGAAAATCAAAATCAGCAAAAAACTATGAACCAGAGACACTCTATGGGGGTTGGGGGTGGGGAGGGGAGGGATTGGGGTCAAAATAAGGGGGTTGCAATTGTATGGGGAATATAAAAATAAAATTTATTTTAAAAAAAAGTAAAAAAAAAAAGAAAACTTAATCCACCACTATCAGTAAGTATAGAGAGAATATATCTGTTTAATTAAACTTTAATTTTAAATAAAGTGTTATAAATAAAAGAATTAGTATGGATGGAGCTGGAAGGGATCATGCTCAGCGAAATAAACCAGAAAGAAAAAGAAAAATACCGGATGGTCTCACTCATAGCAGGAATCTAGAAAACCTAAATAAGGGGCCAGGAAAAAGAATAGCTATAAGAAAGAAAAAATCAAAATCAACAAACAACTATGAACTAGAGACAAACTATGTGGGGGCGGGGAAAGGAGAGCTTGGGGCCAAAATATGGGTGGTGCAATTGTATTGTTTGGGGAATATAAAAAGAAAAAAAAGAAAAATGAAAAACCAAAGACAAAAAAACATTCTCTTTGACAACTCTTTGTATGTGAATGAAGACAGCGTAGTTTCCTGGCAAAAACACTGTATAACAACAAACTCTGAGAGCCTGGTAGAATGGGCAATGGAATTCCACAGGTATTATACTGGGTTAAATATAGGAAGGTTTTCCTGGGAGCTGTGAGTTACTGGAGTGTACACAGTGTGTACCATCTAATAGTAAAAACTCGGGTAAGTCATAAAAACAAAACAAAACCAAACAAAAAAGAATTAGTATAAATTGGAAAGTAAAAGTTTCCCAAGTCCCTAATCACTATCATCTGTGACAGATACTTAATCTTGATCCTCAAGACAGAGCTGTCTTATTTTAAGGTCTATTATCTTTAACTTGTCTAGTAAGAGGAAGAGCATTTCTCTGACTTTTTTTTGGGCACATAGTTGATGCATAGTTACTGGCATTCCTTCTGCTAAATCCTGCCGGAAATGAGTTCCCTTTGTCACCTTTGTTCCCAATTTTGTGTTCCCAGCATGATTTTTGACTGTCAAAAATTACTAATATTTTAGATATAGTTCCTTTCTATAGCTCAATTTTCTCTATTTCCTACACACCAAAACAGAAGAATACAAATTGTATGGACTTCTTCATAATGACAAATACAAAGATATTTAAATAGGTTTTAATTAAGGTGTGTGTCTTTATTTTTTATCTCAGAGAACTTGGATAAATTCACTTAAACATTTGTGACTTTGTTGTTTTTTTCTTTTGAAAAAAATATGTTCATAAAAATCCATATCACCAAAAAAAAAAAAAAAATCCCATATCACCACCTATTACATAGGATTATGGAAGGATTTAATCATATAACATATATGAATGGTCTTCAAAAGTCACTAAAGCTCCAACCTCCAACATAGAGTACATTTTATAAATGATCCATCAATTTCAAGGATATAAAAATGTGCTCTCATTAATGAAAGGTGTAGTCTATAAATCTCATGAACACATAATTTATGAGGCTATTGTAGGTACTTGTGGTTGATAGAAATTGACTCCAGTTAAAGCCAAACTTTATGAGTAAAACAGATTAGCAATGACATACTGGTTTTACAGCACTGGACGTTAAAGTTGACAGAAGATAAATATTTATGGTGTTCACTTTCCTACTTCATACCCTTGCTTAGGGAGTTCCACTCACCTAGAGAGCCTCAATCTTTATTATTGAAATCTAACACATCCTATAAGACTAAGCTGAAATCCCACCTCCTCTAATAGATACTTTCTCAACTCTATAACTATTTTTAAGCACAGCAATATTATATTATCTCTATTTTTCTGCTGGCATTTATACCCTGTCATAGACTACATCTATCTAAAAATATTTCTTTATCCTAATAGGTCCCTCTGAAGATAGGGACCATAGTATTTAATTTTTGGTTTCCACCTTACTCATTAAGTGCTGTCTATGATATGTCTAAAAAGAGAGATATAAAACTTTTAATGAATAAATATTTTACACACAAATCAAAAGGCTTATTTTGTGTGTTTCACAAGCTACAAAATATAAGGATGTAAGCTGATTAATAATTCTGAAGTCATCCATTGCACTGAGTTTCCCACACTGGTTATTATCAGTGAATGAGATTCGGGAGATCCTGAAAACTGTCAGCCTAGGTTAACAACTAGTTGTTTTCCTTTAATTTGACCACAATGTTTTTATTGCTTAGTGTTTTTCCCATTTATAATCCAGTATAAGACAAAATGTCATCTTTCCGAATACAAATATAAAGAAGATTCCATGACTGAAGGTTAAACCATAAACCTTATTCATGAACAGGTCATGTTTTTTAAATTATTGTGAACCAGTTCAGGAAACTAGAATTGGCTTCCAGGGCCTATAAAAAAGACCATTATTTTAACTGGAAGTTTGTCTTCACACTGAAATTTAGAAATTAAATGCACACAGCTGAAGTGGTAGGAAAGGGAAAAAATGAACATGTATTTGCTACATATAAAGTCATAATATTGAATGGAGATTATGACAAGGTCTTGCAAGTACTATGTTGAATTAAGAAAAGATTTACCCATTGCTCCACAGAAACAAGGATCCACAAAAGCAAACTACATTTAATGGCTCCAACCTGGATTTGCTTTGAAAGCGAAATAAACTCAATCAGAGAGGATGGTAACTCTAAAGTAAGGGTTGCTCTAAACATTAAGAAAATAAATTGCAAAATGAAGAGCAACTGAGGAAAAGAGAATGACTTTGATAACAAGATAATTTCAAACTTTTAATGGAAACCACTGATCTACTGAGATACGGATATACTAGAAAGACAATGTCTTCAGGAAACATTTGGTCATTTCATCTCATCTCAGGTTGTGAAGAACTGAGACATTCTGCAGGGGAGGAGGAGGGAGAAGGATCAGGACAGGGGTGGGAACAGCATAAGGGACTACGGTGATGGTGCACAGTCAATTGGTAGTGGGAATTTCATGGGGAAATCATACATTGTAAAAAAATGAAGGATGATGTTATATATATATATATATATATATATATATATGTATGCATGTATGTATGTGTGTATGCATGCATGTATGTATGTATGTTATGCTGTGTGAAAATGGAAATGAACGCTGACTATTGAACACTCTCCTAACATTCAGAAGTTACTTTGTCCTTGAATTGGCAAGTTGAATGAGACTCTGACACACGTTTTTCCATAGCTAATAATAAAGGAATAGTTCATGAATACACATGGACTACTAAAAAAATCATTAGCTCTGCCCCATTTTTCTACCATAACTTCCTCCTCTCTGCCAATTTGCATACATCCTAGAAGGGTTCCAGAAGAACTTAC